ATTAAAATTGCCAAAATTTGACAAAAAATTGAATTTTTTAAATTTGAAAACTGAGTATGCAGCATTGTTAATCTACTAAAAACTAGCATAGAACAGCTTTCCGAATTAAAATTAATGATTTATTGGCTTAGTTATGAGTTTTTTTAAACTATGATTTTTGGGAAAAATTGCCTGTTTTTATACCTTTTTGCAGGTTATTATAATTTTAGTCAGAAACTTATAACAGCATCAACAAACGCAGTATGCAGATTTGTTAGTGCTTTAAAAACCTGCACAGAAAAGCTTTCCGAATCAAAATTAATGCTATTTTGGCTTAATTATGATGTTCGTAAAACTCAGATTTTTTAAGAAAATTGTCTGTTTTTATACCTTTTTGCAGAGTAAAGCTTCAGTCAGAAGATTAAAACGCATTGAAGGAGTCGTTTCCGACCCTATAAACCATATATATTCTTGATCAGCATCAACAGCCCAGTCGTTCTAGCTATGTCCGGTCAAGAAATGAAATTTTGTCATTTTTCCGAAAATTGAAAAATTTATAAGGGGTTACATCATTAAAATTGCCAAAATTTGACAAAAAATTGAATTTTTTAAATTTGAAAACTGAGTATGCAGCATTGTTAATCTACTAAAAACTAGCATAGAACAGTTTTCCGAATTAAAATTATTGATTTATTGGCTTAGTTATGAGTTTTCTTAAACTATGATTTTAGGGAAAAATTTACTGTTTTTATACCTTTTTGCAGGTTATTATAATTTTAGTCAAAAACTTATAAAAGCATCAACAAACGCAGTATGCAGATTTGTTAGTGCTTTAAAAACCTGCACAGAAAGGCTTTCCGAATCAAAATTAATGCTATTTTGGCTTAAAAATGATGTTCGGAAAACTCAGATTATTTAAGAAAATGGTCTGTTTTTATACCTTTTTGCTGAGTAAAGCTTCAGTCAGAAGATTAAAACGCATTGAAGGAGTCGTTTCCGACCCTATAAACCATATATATTCTTGATCAGCATCAACAGCCCAGTCGTTCTAGCTATGTCCGGTCAAGAAATGAAATTTTGTCATTTTTCCGAAAATTGAAAATTTTATAAGGGGTTACATCATTAAAATTGCCAAAATTTGACAAAAAATTGAATTTTTTAAATTTGAAAACTGAGTATGCAGCATTGTTAATCTACTAAAAACTAGCATAGAACAGCTTTCCGAATTAAAATTAATGATTTATTGGCTTAGTTATGAGTTTTTTTAAACTATGATTTTTGGGAAAAATTGCCTGTTTTTATACCTTTTTGCAGGTTATTATAATTTTAGTCAAAAACTTATAACAGCATCAACAAACGCAGTATGCAGATTTGTTAGTGCTTTAAAAACCTGCACAGAAAGGCTTTCCGAATCAAAATTAATGCTATTTTGGCTTAAAAATGATGTTCGGAAAACTCAGATTATTTAAGAAAATGGTCTGTTTTTATACCTTTTTGCTGAGTAAAGCTTCAGTCAGAAGATTAAAACGCAGTGAAGGAGTCATTTCCGACCCTATAAACCATATATATTCTTGATCAGCATCAACAGCCCAGTCGTTCTAGCCATGTCCGGTCAAGAAATGAATTTTTGTCATTTTTCCGAAAATTGAAAATTTTATAAGGGGTTACATCATTAAAATTGCCAAAATTTGACAAAAAATTGAATTTTTTAAATTTGAAAACTGAGTATGCAGCATTGTTAATCTACTAAAAACTAGCATAGAACAGCTTTCCGAATTAAAATTAATGATTTATTGGCTTAGTTATGAGTTTTCTTAAACTATGATTTTAGGGAAAAATTGACTGTTTTTATACCTTTTTGCAGGTTATTATAATTTTAGTCAAAAACTTATAACAGCATCAACAAACGCAGTATGCAGATTTGTTAGTGCTTTAAAAACCTGCACAGAAAGGCTTTCCGAATCAAAATTAATGCTATTTTGGCTTAAATATGATGTTCGTAAAACTCAGATTATTTAAGAAAATTGTCTGTTTTTATACCTTTTTGCAGAGTAAAGCTTCAGTCAGAAGATTAAAACGCATTGAAGGAGTCGTTTCCGACCCTATAAACCATATATATTCTTGATCAGCATCAACAGCCCAGTCGTTCTAGCCATGTGCGGTCAAGAAATAAATTTTTGTCATTTTTCCGAAAATTGAAAATTTTATAAGGGGTTACATCATTAAAATTGCCAAAATTTGACATAAAATTGAATTTTTTAAATTTGAAAACTGAGTATGCAGCATTGTTAATCTACTAAAAACTAGCATAGAACAGCTTTCCGAATTAAAATTAATGATTTATTGGCTTAGTTATGAGTTTTTTAAACTATGATTTTAGGGAAAAATTGACTGTTTTTATACCTTTTTGCAGGTTATTATAATTTTAGTCAGAAACTTATAACAGCATCAACAAACGCAGTATGCAGATTTGTTAGTGCTTTAAAAACCTGCACAGAAAGGCTTTCCGAATCAAAATTAATGCTATTTTGGCTTAAATATGATGTTCGGAAAACTCCGATTATTTAAGAAAATTGTCTGTTTTTATACCTTTTTGCAGAGTAAAGCTTCAGTCAGAAGATTAAAACGCATTGAAGGAGTCGTTTCCGACCCTATAAACCATATATATTCTTGATCAGCATCAACAGCCCAGTCGTTCTAGCCATGTGCGGTCAAGAAATAAATTTTTGTCATTTTTCCGAAAATTGAAAATTTTATAAGGGGTTACATCATTAAAATTGCCAAAATTTGACATAAAATTGAATTTTTTAAATTTGAAAACTGAGTATGCAGCATTGTTAATCTACTGAAAACTAGCATAGAACAGCTTTCCGAATTAAAATTAATGATTTATTGGCTTAGTTATGAGTTTTTTTAAACTATGATTTTTGGGAAAAATTGCCTGTTTTTATACCTTTTTGCAGGTTATTATAATTTTAGTCAAAAACTTATAACAGCATCAACAAACGCAGTATGCAGATTTGTTAGAGCTTTAAAAACCTGCACAGAAAGGCTTTCCGAATCAAAATTAATGCTATTTTGGCTTAAATATGATGTTCGGAAAACTCCGATTATTTAAGAAAATGGTCTGTTTTTATACCTTTTTGCAGAGTAAAGCTTCAGTCAGAAGATTAAAACGCAGTGAAGGAGTCATTTCCGACCCTATAAACCATATATATTCTTGATCAGCATCAACAGCGCAGTCGTTCTAGCCATGTGCGGTCAAGAAATAAATTTTTGTCATTTGTCCGAAAATTGAAAATTTTATAAGGGGTTACATCATTAAAATTGCCAAAATTTGACATAAAATTGAATTTTTGATTAATGATTTATTGGCTTAGTTATGAGTTTTCTTAAACTATGATTTTTGGGAAAAATTACATGGATATGACTTGTCGGATATGACTCCTTCACGGCGTAACAAGCTTCAAATTAAAATTAGAATACCCTAAAAGTGTATAATTAGCTATTTTACTATTGTTACAATATTAAATCTTTTTGGCTTAGTAATGGCTTTTTAAAAATTGATTTCTTCACAAAAATGATCATAAAGTTATATCAATAACTATTTACTAATTTAAAATAAGTAGCAAAATGTACAAATTTATTGTGTAAATTAGTTTACATTACAGACTCCCGCTAAATTGACTTAAATTGTTGGGTCTGGCCAAATAGTCATATCTAGCCATAAAAGAGCTAATACGATTTTCGAAGGTGGCAACGCGGCGTTCCAGTTATCGATAAAATTGCATTATTTTGTGCAAATGGGAAAATACAAAAAATAATCTCTAAATAAGAAATTGAAATAAAACAAACATTTTGCGACACTTGAAGCACAAGATAATGTTTGGCGCCACGCAATCCAACAACCGGATGAACGACTTCGAGGTGGCGTCGCCCCCGGACGACTCCGTCTCGGCGTTGGAATTCAGCCCGAGCACGCTACAAAAGAACTTCCTCGTTGCCGGCAGCTGGGACAACAGCGTCCGCTGCTGGGAGGTGGAGCAGAATGGCGCCACCGTGCCCAAGTCGATGAAAACAATGGGGGGCCGGTGCTGGACGTGTGCTGGTCAGACGACGGTAGCAAGGTGTTCGTGGCCTCCTGCGACAAGCAGGTTAAACTCTGGGACCTGGCCTCCGACCAAGTGATGCAAGTGGCGGCCCACGACGGCCCGGTGAGGACGTGCCACATGGTCAAGGGTACAAACTACACATGCCTGATGACCGGTTCCTGGGACAAGACCTTAAAGGTGAGAAGTGAATAATCTAGGGATAACAACATTGTGAACTACTCTCTTTGTGATTACTGCAGTTCTGGGACACGCGGTCGCCCAATCCTATGATGGCCATCAACCTGCCGGAGCGCTGCTACTGTGCCGACGTGGACTACCCCATGGCCGTAGTTGGCACCGCCAACCGTGGCCTGATTATATACTCGCTACAGAACAGCCCTACGGAGTACAAGCGGCAGGAGAGCCCGCTCAAGTACCAGCACCGCACCATATCAATCTTCAAGGACAAGAAAAAGGAGCCCACCGGCTACGCCCTGGGCAGCATTGAGGGTCGTGTTGCCATTCAGTACGTGAATCCGGCAAACCCCAAAGATAACTTCACATTCAAGTGCCACCGGACTACAGGCACCACGGGTTTCCAGGACATCTACGCCGTGAATGATATCGCATTCCATCCCGTACACGGCACTCTGGTGACCGTCGGCTCCGACGGCACCTTCAGCTTCTGGGACAAGGATGCCCGAACCAAGCTCAAGTCCAGTGAGGCCATGGATCAGTCGATCACCAAGTGCGGCTTCAACGCGAACGGCCAGATCTTTGCTTACGCTGTAGGCTACGACTGGTCCAAGGGCCACGAGTACTTCAACCCGGCCAAGAAGCCCCAAATCTTCCTGCGTTCGTGCTACGACGAGCTAAAGCCTCGCATCAATTGATCGGAAGACTTTTTTAGTTTTAGTGAAATCCCATATATGTACTGCGAATAATCAGATTCGACCAAGTTTAATCAATTTAGCTATTTAATGGTGTCCCTCATCGTGGCCGTGACCATGTCCATGGCCGCCCTGGCCCTTGCCGATTCCTAGGGCATACTCTACGGCGACGGTGGCCAGGAATGCACAGAATCCGACTCCGAGGCCGCGGAACATGAAGGTGTTTAAGCGAGATCTGTGCGTGCCAAAGGCCTTGGGTTCGTAGCGCCAGGCCTCGTTCCTGCGACGAAGTAAAGGTAATGAATTTTAACAAGTTTCTAGTCGATTTAGGCAACTCACCTGAGCCATGGATCCTTCAGTCCCTGGCGGCCAAGAGCTTCCTTTACCTCCACCAGCTGGGGTACATTTTCCACCTTGTAGGTGGAGGCATGCGGCACCGTGTAGGGTTCACCGTGATGATGTCCGCCCATATTTATGCACTGGAATTCGAGAAAGAATTGGTGTCAGAAATACTCCAAAAAGCACTGTTTAACCTCTTGCCCTCAAGAATTACATAAGAATGTTTATGTTTGTCAAACGTAGAGACGTGTTGGCAACTATAAAATTGTTTGACAGGAAACGCAGCCTTCTTTTGTTTTTAAAGCTGCTTGTCCCACCTTAACTGTTTTATTTTAAGAAAATATGGCCAGAAATGTAAAATTGTAATTACTACGCACAGTTGACTTAGGGATGAACGAATGGCGATAGCACCCAAACAGCTGATTTATCGATATATCGTCACAGTTGACATAGGGATGATAGGATAGCGATAAACGTAATACGGTAATTTATCGATATATCGTCATGCAGAAAGGTTGAAAACTTGACTAACTTGGGCAAAAGCCACGGTTCATGACTTGACTACCATCAAAAGAAATCACCCTGCTGCTGATTATGTTCGCCTGGTATTTCAACTGAGAAAACTACGAAATGTTAAGCGGCAATTACTAAGCACATTTGACTTAGGGATGAACAGGTGGCGATAGTCTCTGCTGCCGATAAAAGGTGACTTAAACACACTCTTGACAATCATTAATATAAATTGCCCAGATGCTGATTATGCTCGCTTGGTATTCGAACTGGGAAAACGAAGGATTTACACAGTGATGTTGCCCCAAATTTTGTATAATATTTAATCAATGCTAAGTGGCAATTTATTAAGCATATTTTACTTAGCGATGAACGGACGGCGATATCTCCCAAACAGCAGATTGGTCGATATATCGTCACAGTTGACTTAGGGATGAAAAGGTTGCGATAACCGCCAAGCAGCTTATTTATCGATATATCGTCACGCAGAACGGTTAAAAACTCAAGTAAGTTGGACACAAACCACGGTTCAAGACTCGACTATCATCAAGAATAATCACCCTTGCTGCTAATTATGTTCGCCTGGTATTTGAAATGGGAAATGCGAACAATTTACACCGTGAATTTGCCAATCTGTAAAATATTGAAACACTGCTAATGATAACCCGAATCTGCTGCATTCCGTTCGCTTGGTGGATGAAATCATTTACTAGATTTATTTTTACTGCGAAATGTAAATATTATAGCTAAATCTAAGTGCAAATTGTTCGTCGTTGCCATTTCGAGTAACTGGCGAATATAAATCAAAAGGGCTTTAACAGAGGATAGTTAACAGAAAGCGTTGGAGGGGCGATTTACATAAACAGAGCTAACAAAAGGCAACAGAGGGACGATTTAAATTTTAAAATATTAAATTGCAATAAATTGCATTAGGGATGAGCGAATGGTAACTTTGACTTTATCGATATATCGGTTAAGGTGGCCACAAAATACCAGAATGGTCTGCTCTAGTTTGGCGGCACTTTTTGAAACAAAACGTAAAATGATTATTAATTTATTTATTTATTTTCATTAAAGTATGTAGAACATTTGTTGTAATTTTTTGAAACGTGAGTAAGTGAAAATATACACCAAAAAGTTTATCCATTTAATTCTCTAATTACACAATATAGTAATAGTAATATTTTTATATTTGTAGGATCTATATAATATATATGTATGTATTAATAGCGTTCTTCTTCTCTCTTTAAACTTTTAACTTAAAAATGTTTGTGTTTATTTTCAGTTAAATTTATATAGTAAACTCCGAAACGTCGCTACAAATTGGAAAAGGAAACGAGCTAAGAGACTTTAAGCATAGTTTACATTCAACGAAATACTGATCCTTGCGTTCTTGCTGTCGCTTTTCTTTGTCATTTTGCATCATCTATCATTTGTTGTTATACATGTATATATATTTTTTTGTTTGTGTTTTTAATGTATTGTAATGGCTAAATTGTATAAAAACATCAGATCCGCCTTCAATACAATATTAATAGGTCTCACCATACATAGGTTAGATTCGCTGTGAAGCGGATCTATCAAACTATTATAAACTTTTCATCTACTTTTTGTTGGAAGCGACTGTTACATTCTCCTTCTTTGATACCTCCTTCATTCGTACTCCTACCTTCCTTCACAAATGCTGCTTTACTGTACTTAAGTTACGAGTTGTTTGGTTTAAAAGTTAAAAAGTTACAACATTTAAGGTCTATTATATCCGGCTTGTTAAATAGGTTTTGTTTGCTTTTGAATCACATTTCGAATTTCTAAAAATTAGTTTTTGTTTTTTCATAATTTTCAACGCACTTTTAGGTATTTCTGAAATTAAATTGTACTCTTTCCCATCGTTCTTAGATCCTCTCCTCGGCTAGAATCTCGTTGAGCAGACGATTTAGGCTGTCCAGGCCGGTGAGGAAGCCGCCGTCGGGTCCATGGTGCACTGGGGCAGCTGGGGGCGTGGGCAGCATGCTGCCGTTGCGTGGCACAAAGGCCGTGTGGGCAAAGTCGATGAGGCGCACGTCCACGAAGCACTGGCTGTCATCAGTGGGTGGCGCCGACATGTCCAGAGACTTCGAGCTGTGCTGCAGCAGGAGGGCTGAGTGGCGGAGCTGCTGCTCGTTGTTGTCCAGCAGCAGTCCGGACAGCCGGGATTGCTGGCTAGCAATGCTCTCGCTGGCAGCGGTCTTGGCCGGTGAGGATACTGCCGAGACCGGAGTCGAGGTGATCGTAGACTTCTTCGCCTCGCGCGACTCGCACTCGCCGAGCGATGCGGTATGCTCGTCATCGTCCTTGCAGCGCAGACGCTTCACGGCGCCCGATTTAACCGACTTGAGGGACGAGGCGCTGGAGGAGGCGGGCGAGACCAGTGACCGGACGGTGGTGGTGCCGTTGGAGACGCTCGAATTGCCGGCAGTGAGGGGCGGGGAGGCGGTTTCGGATTGCTGCGATTTGTAGCGCTTGAACATGGCTTCCGTTGGCCCAATGATGCTGCTCTCGTAGTCGGAGCTGGCGTCATCGCTGCTATTGTTTCCTGTCTGCCGTCCGCTGGCCACTGCCTTAATCTGCTCCGACAGGCCGGAGAAGTCGTCGCTGCTGTTGCTGCTGTAGTTCATCCACGAGTCACCGGAATGTGGCGATGAGGTGGTCGTCACGCTGGGCAGCGCCGGCTCTGGATCCAGGAATACTGTCTCTTCGGAGATTGGAATGAATGCGCCCTGGCCCTGGCCCTTTCCGGCCAGTCCAGCTGCCGCGGCAGCGGCTGCTGCCGCCTTGGCGGCCGTAACACCGCAACTACGTGGCGGCGGCATGGCAGCCGGATGTTGTTCCTCGTCCTCCTCCTCATCGGTGGTGGTACTGGCGGCCGTTTGCTTCACGCCACGAGCCGCTGCCTCTGCAAAACCGCGCTTGTGCAGGTGTCGACGTGTGGCCAGATTGAGCATGGAACTGGAGTCGTTAGAGGCATCCGCATCGTAGTTGCAGGCATCGCCGCCTGTGCTGCTGTTGGTGGCCGAGGCATTGCCACTGTCGGCGGCCGCCACCAAATGCAGATCCTCGTCGGTGTCGTGCGGCTCTAGTTCATCTCCAGCCTCGTGGCCCGCCTCATCCTCCTCATCCTCCAGATCCTCGTCCTCGTCTATGCTGTTCTCTGGATGATAGTCAAACACGGTACCAGGCACGGTGGCCGACCTAGGCGCCTCCTGGGGCCACTCATCCACACCCATTGAAGGCGGATGGGCCATCGGGTTCTCCTCGAAGCCCTCGTAGACGATGAGCAGGGAGCTGGGAAGTCAGAATGCCCTAGATTAGTTCCTTTTCTTAAATACATTTTAAGTTCAGCAACTTACCAGGAGTAAAACCGGTAGCTGGACTGCTTCTCAATGACCCGCCGCAACTGCAGCAGGCGTTGCAGGATCTTGCGGATGACGCGAATGCGCAGACGGTAACCGTTGTAGAAAAAGTCATGCAGAGCCGTCTTGAAGCCACCCTCGTTGAGCTCGCGGCCCCAATACTTGTCCCGCTTGGCATACTGCTCCAGATCCGCCTGGTAGGTCTGCATGCCGCACAGGCGCACGCCCAGCGAGCCCGAGGTGCTGGCCGCACACTTGGCCATTTGCTTGGAGCGCTTCTCCGCCGAAGCATCGTCACCGTGCTGGCGGGTGCCCATCTTCAGGTCGAGGATGCAGGGATTGCGGAACTGCGAGGTGATGTTCTCCAGCATAAGGAAGTCTGCAAGAGAGAAATATTGCATTTTAGATATACATATTTATCAAGAGGAAAAGTTGGATATTATGATGTTAACTTACATTGCTTATTTGTGTTGTCCAGCTGGGAGATGCTTTTGATTACCTCAGCTGCCTGTCCGTTCTTGTGCACCTTCATTCTGCAAAGCGGAATCCAATGTTAAGATTAGATTGGAGTTAGGAAGAAATTTATCTACGATGCACTTACCTGAGTACCTCATCCCTCTTCCTTTTGGAGGCGCTCATCTTTCGCACTGGCACGGCGGCAGCCTCGTCACGAAAACTGGGCGAGTAGCGCTTGTCCAGCTTGGCTCCGCCCATGGTGGTGGCTTGCATGACGCCTGAAACAAGACACAAGAAGCGACCCGGGGCCAAAGATTACTAAGCTGTCATGGAGCACACACACACTCATCATCATCATCATCATCATCTTCTCTAACTCATGTGGTTGTAAGTTGTATGTAGTTTTAGCATCGAATCGACGCGGCAGGAGATGGGTTTTAGGGTTACGCGCAGGATGTGGATAATGGAGGCGGCAGTGGTTCCCTCTTTGGATTAGCATTTATGGCGATTTAGCAGACGACACACGAAATGGTTTGAACAGACAGAGAAAAAAAACACGCTCAGGGAAATGGTGGAAATGGAAGACAATATAATGAACAAGGTACGCAACGCTGGCTGTTCAACAAAATATCAATAAAGCCCGCAAGAAATTCATGTGGCGTTACGTATTTTGCCCAATATATTGTCTTTCCCACTCACTTCCAGCATCAGATTAAGACGGATTTGAATTGTTATGGCTGGTTAAATGGAGATAATAAGTATAGCTAGTCCTATTCCTAGTCTAGGTGGGTGCAGATAAGAGAAGGAGAGAGAGAGACCCCTTAACAAAGTGCAAAAGTAATTAAACAAAAGGGCATTCATTCTCGTTTCCTTCGACTCCTCAACTTAAACAGTTAAATATACAATATATAGTACTTAGAGAGCGGGATCGATCGTCTTAACTAGCATAATCGTATCGGTAAACTGGTAATATTTATGTAAAATATAAAGATAGATGTGTTTTATTCATACAAACCCTTTTGGCTTTGGCTTTGCCTTTGGCCAGCATTCTAACCGACTGAGAGCTTAGATCCTAAGATCCTAAGATCCAAAGAGACGAGCGGAGTGGAGTTGAGTTTGGACGATGGATGGCGACGACGACTACACACACAACAACACACAACCAACGACCGTTCGTTTGAGGGAAGGAGGAGGCAGAGTCAGAGGCAGAGGCAGAGGCAGAGGCAGAGGCAGAGGCAGGCAGCACTGAGCAAACACATATAAAATAATACTCGATTTTCTTTGTTCAGACAGATTCTTTACACTTTCGGCTTTGACTTTCTCCATTTCCCGACACGGAGGAGGACACGTCCCGGACTCCGGACTCCGGTCCAGGTTCCGGTCCCGGTTTCGGTTTCAGTTTCGGTTCGTCGGCAGATCGCAAGCGGGTCTGTCTCAGCCAGAGGCACCTCTCGAACCTTTGGATAATACGAGCATAGACGTACATGTAGTGGCGGGGCAGGGCACGCCCCCCGATCCGGGCAGCAGCTTCTCCAAGTTATGGTACCGAATCGGGGGAGTGCATCATCGGGGGGGTTCTTCAAATATATATGTATATGTAACTCTACGATTGTACAATTTTGTGCAAAAGAAAAAAAAAACAGAGAGAATATAATGAATATGCTGGCATTTAGCAGTGTAAAGCATCTTGTCCATTATATTGTCTTTGCAAAAACTGTACAATCTTCAAGGGAGCTTATTCAGTTGCGATTCTTGACTTGGTTAACTTTACTTTCGGGTATGGAGTATTCTTGGTATTGGTTTTGATTTGTATTTTTTCGGTTTGTATTGCGACTTACCCATATCTTGGTTACTAACTATATAAAGGGTTTATGTCGGAAAAAGATCTCTGGTTCGGGGGCGGTGGCGACCTGGGGACTATATTTGTATAGACTATTCCAGGCGTCGTCGTCGTCGAGTCAGAGTATGTTTCTGTGGCATTTTGTGGCGGCTACATAACACGGTTTTTGTTTCTTGTTTATTTTCGATCTTTGCTTTTGTATTATTACAAATATTTAAAGCTATTTGGTTAGCTACATAGTTTCATTTCTTTTTTATATGATTCAGTCTTTTCTTTTCATTATTTTTTGTGTATTTTTTTGTTTTGCTTTCTTTTTTGTGCTTGGCTTTTATTTGGATTTTCAGTTAAACAACTTACAGACTAAGGATATATCACATAAGTATATAGTAAAGTATGTAGTTTGTAGAGAGAGAATATACTAAAAATAAAAATGATATTCGAATGCGATTGCTTGGCTTTTATCTAGGGACGAGATACAAGAGGAGCAAACGCACAGTTTTTGAGTTGTTTTTAGTTTGTTTTTCATTGCGGAGAGTTAGTACAAAAACAAAAGGTTCGATTCAATCAAAAATTGGCGATTTGAGAACTCAAGACACATGACAAATGCTTTAGCGCGATTCAGTATGTTTCATTCCATATACATATGAAACATATATAGAAAGAGATTAGTTAATTCGAAACGAAAGAGCAAATGAAGCGCTTCGACAGAATCGATTTATATATATATATAATTGGTATTGAAACGTTTGATCTGATCGGTTTCTGATTCGGTTTTGGTGAAAAAGTCGGTATCTTACCTTTGTACTTGGGCACAAACTTCAGTATGTCCTGCGGAATGTTCTGGTAGAAGTCCAATTCACGCAGGTTCAGCGGCTTTATCACCGTCGACTGGTTGAGCAGCAATAGACGTGTGTGCCCTCCGACCTGTAAAAATAACAAATGATTAATAGCAATACTAATTAGGATTGTTTAAAATAATAATAACAATAACGAGAGCGAGAGTTCTATGCAGTTTGCAATTGGAGGATTCAAATCGGACTCCCATTTAAAGTGCAATTTATGGTAAGTTTTAAAGAATATAATCTACCATCAAGTATGTGATAAATCTACCCAAATAAAATACAATTTTTATTAGCAAGTGTCATTAACAAAAATTATAGACTTCTTAGCTTGTGACTATCCTCTTTCCGCTTGATTATCATGTTTTTTTTTTCGCTATCAACAAAAACACAATCTTACCAATTTCGACAAGAACTTGATGAAGACGCGTGGCCCTAACCCTGATTATGGGTGGTATCTTATCGTTATCGACGTCACTAGCATGAGCTTTCCTAACACCAGACAAACTTTTTTTGGGGGAATCTTAGTTACTTTGCCTTTAACATTGCTTGCCTTTTACTAAATTAATGGAGTATGTTTTTTTCTTTTATGGCATCGTAGACAATGATTTGACTGAAGATGACAAGGAAGAACCTTTGGTCTAGGACATTAAGTCAATCAGGGCCCGTCTAGAGCAGATATTTGGCAAACACATTCACACCCGAGCATGAGTCAGCACACCTCCCGCAACAGCGCAACAGCGGATCTGACGGGTGCATTTCTCCAACCCAGGCAATCGAGGAACACCAGACTAACGCTCCAGACAGCAGTTAAGAGGACAACAAACCAAACCGCACAGGGCACGCAGACGGAAAAGCGGAAAAAGAAGACGTACCACAGGCTGCGCTCAACAGTACTCCAAAGTCGCGAAACCTTACTGCCCATCGGTAAGCCATGGCTATAAACTTCGCCAAAAATGCAAGACAGCGTCTTCGTCTAGATAAATTGAGGCCCGAGGACCTCACCGCCCGCTGCAGTGCCTCGCACGAGGGACGCAAGGTGCTCCAGGAGCGACTGCCGATGCTGGTCGATAGCCTGTTCAACATGATCTTCTCGCCCTCACCCTTCATGGAGGGTTTCCACGAGCGCCGCAAGAACACCGATCTCTCCATGGGATGCTGGACGTGCGATGCCAATGGCCAGAATGTGCGGATCGTCACGGTGAACGTGGCGCTGCAAGCGAATATCGGACCCAAAAAGGCCAAAGTCATTGAAACGCAGGAGATGCGCGACTGCAGCCAGCCCGGGCAGCTATACTCGATCGATGTTGAGATCGTCAACGAGGATATACCCTATGCCGATACGTTTATCGTCCAGGTCCACTATTGCCTAAAGGCCACCGTCGAACAGCACACGGACGTCCAAGTCTTTGGACAGGTGAAGTTTCTCAAACCGGTGTGGGCGGTGGTCAAGACATTTATCGAAAAGAACGCGTACGCGGGTCTCGAGGAGTTCTGTCAGTCCCTTTACTGCGCCCTGCTTAACGAGATCAAGAAGATGTAGGGGTCCCTTCTTATATCCATTGAAAGTCTGGAGACTGGAAGTCTGCTTTTTTTTAATGCTTAGATAAAGTCACCTTCATCCATATGCACGTTTCTGTATCTTGTAAATCGAACTCACCTGGTTGGAGAGCGGGTGCAGGGCCACCTCATCCTCATTGTCCAGGAGATCCTTGCTCAGCTGCGGGGTCTTGGACAACGACTTGGCGCCAGCTGGAACAGTGGGTGCAGCAGCTGCATCTGGTTGTAAATGGTGCTGCTGTGGTTTGGTGGGGGTGCAGTGGGTGTTGCTGCTGCTGTTACTATTGCTGTTGCTGCTGCTGCTGCTGCTGCTGCTCACCGACAGCTGCTGGAGATTGGCGGTAACCTGGCTGCTGCTGCTGACAGAACCAACATGTTGCTGTTGCTGCTGTTGCTGCTGGGATGGGAGTGGAAGTGGGAGTGGCTGCTGGTTGGGGGATGTGGGAGAGACCGAGGTTGGCGATGGCAAGCCTTGTTGTAGGAAGTTGGAGCTAGTGGCAAACTGCAACTGCGACTGCAACTGGCTTAGGCCACTGGAGATTTGTGCCACAAATTGTTGCTGTTGCTGCTGCTGTGTGGACTGTTGCTGCTGCTGTTGCAGAGGTTGCTGCTGCTGCTGCTGTTGTTGTTGTTGCTGCTGCTGCTGCTGCTGCTGCTGTTGCTGTTGATGAAGGAGTAAGTCACGTCCATGGATGCGTTGCTGCTGCTGCTGTATATTTGGAACATGTTGCTGATATGACGACAAGTCAGAATCTCCCATGCCCCAATCCCCCAAGAAATATACCATTCCCTGCCGCGCTAAACAGTGTAACGATTGCTGGCCGCTTTTTGCGCTCGGTGCCTTGCTCCTTTGTTCTGTCTGCAAAACGCAAAGAGAAGAAAAATGGGGTTAAATCTCAATAAATGGCATTTTAAATTGGGTTAAATAAGCGATTATCTTAACCTGCCGCACACTTGATCATCTGAATCATCATCATCATCATCATGAGCATTCCCTGCCGCACAAACGTTCACTCAACTGCTTGGGAACCGGTTCCCCCTGTCTATGTTCTCGGAGCGGATCACATCGGATCGGAGCAAGTGCATTCGGAACGCAGGCCGCCGGGTTCAATGTCATTTCCGCCACGGAACACTCTCGCCACGCGACACGAGTCGTCGAATGCAAATCGGGTTCCGGCTGCGCTTGTTCTGATGACGAATCATCGCATCGTCATCAATTGGCGGATCGGAATGTGCCAGCCAGATATTTCATAATTCTCGTAGCGATCGAAGAACTTGTCAAACTTGGAGTAACATTTTCCAGATGTAAAGAGAAACATTGAAATGTAATATATATCCCAACGGAGAGAGCCTCAGAAGCTATTAGAGCTTATCGGAGTTGCTGTTGTTTTAAACATTCATCAAATACCTAAAATTTCCTTTGATTAACTCGGGGCAATACCTTGATAACCATTCCACCTTAAAAATTATTTCTCGCTAGACAAAAACTCAGCTGATCGAGAGATCAATAACACTTATAGTCCTATCAAATTTCGAATGCGCTTTAGATCATTCACTGGGCGACTGACTGATCCCATTGCAATTCCCCCAATCTCTATTAGCAATCAACAATAGACCCATGTACATGGCAATCAAGTAAGCCCGTGAACCGAGAGCTACAATATTAGAAATCATTTAATGAAGCGTGCTGTTAATTGAAAACAATTGCAAGTCAGGCTGGAAAGATGGGGATGGAAGCCAGGTCTAGTCAAGCGTGGGGCACGTGCACACAGAGTACCAGAGAGGAGGGGCCTCCGGAGCTGATAGGACGGTCGGTGGGTCTCTCTCTCTCTCTCTCTCTAATTAGCAATGTGGCAAATTATATTAATAATCTGAGAATGCGAATTGCGTTGCAGACACGCCTATCAGCAGACAGGCAGCCTCCATTTATCACTAGAAATGCAAATAGGGAACTGCAGACGTCATAAAGATAAAGCTTGCTTTCTGGACTTTCTGGCATCCAGACCAGACGGCGGCATTGGGAGTTCTCTAGAGCTGGGCTAGTTGGATACCAAAATGGTCCGATACTCTTTTCGGGGGAATTACAAAAGGCACTTAACCGCATGTGCTCCTCCGCTGACGAGGAGATACATAGGTTCGTTAACTCTCGTCGGGGTGATTCACTCGTTGTCTTGTCTACGCCGCAGAAAACAATACGGAGAAGTTTATCGCCGCTTCCAAGCGAGCTAAGGCTATTTCGACAGCGTTATTTATAGCCAAAGCCTTTAAATAAATTAGTGTTTACCCCGAACGAACGGCCGGCCATCCATCCGTTAATGTCTCAGCCGGGAAAATGTCAAGCGAAAGTCGCGAAAATTGATTGGAACACGGAAGGCATTAGTGCACAATCCCAAGTAGCTAATCTGTGACAATTAATTGAAACCGATTGCCAGAGATTGAAGATCGGCCAAAGATCGGGGAACGACCTTATCAGGCAGCGGAAAAAACAGAGCAAAATCCATATATACCTATATGTAAATATGCGAGCAGGGAAAACTTTGGGGAAACCGAATACAAAGGCAGTAGGTAGTGCGACGCAAAACTATCTGCCACCTCCCTGTACTCACTCCCCGATTGCTCCACTTTGGTGGGGCTTTCTGTGTGTATTCGTCGCTATACATATTTGTATATGGTGTACATAAGGTGTACTGAAAGTGGGTCAACGACAGCGAATAAAGCGGACAGAGAACGGAACTGGGACTGAAGCCCAAACAGCTGCAACTGCGCCAAAGGAACTTTGTGTCGCGGTGGTGAGACTTTGTCCAGAGCAAAGCTAATTCGATCTGAATTTTAAATCTAAATCAAAACAAAGTGAGGACAGAGGGAGCTAAATAGGATACTCAGCTGTCAGCTGGTTTTTGAAATCCAAACAAAGGCACAACACACACATTCTCTACCAGCTGTGACAACAAAGGGTAATCGACACAAAAGATACATTACCTATTACACACTCGATATAGATAGAGCTTACAAATAGTACAGCAAAAAGCGCCTCACTTTAGCACCGATCCGTTGAATTTGACAACTCGGCGACAGAGCAGACAGCAAAAAGAAAGAAACACAATGGAAAAGAGTGTGAATTGCCAGCTAAACAAACATTGATTAGCTCAAATTCATTTGCATACTAACAAATGTGTTTTGCCGTTTGGAATTTCAGCGATCGAATTGATACACGCTCCACCTGCAGTGGGTTCAATGGATATTGCGTCTTGTTCCCAATTCAAAACAATCTGGTTTTCGGCAAAAAGAAATCTCTCTTTCGAAGGTTGAGGAGAAAATTTGTTCCTTTTGGATTTAAAACATATTCTAATACTATGTTTTTAAACTTGTTTTCTTCTAAATCATATTATTTATTTGTTTAAACCTCCGAAGCTAATAACAGAGTTATAAGAACATGTTGAGTATAGATATCAATAAGATTCTGGAAATAAATTTTAGAAAAAAACAATAAATTTTACATGTAGTTAAACATTTCTTAATCAGACTGATTAATGACTGTAATGAATTTTCCCTCATTTACAACTAAAATCTTAATAAACAACGCATCGACTGGAAATTGAGAATTTTCCTGTATGCGAAATAGGAGTTGCACATGCAAGGAGATACAAAGATACAAAGATACACACATATCGAATGGGGAAATTGAACTCGGCCAGTAAACATAGTCGATTTGTTTGGTTTTTGGTTGCCTGCCAAGCGAAGTGAACTCACTGAATTTGCAATTTTCAATTTGCAATTTGCAAATGAAGTAGGAAGCAAAGCGAAACGAGGCGGAATTAGAGCTGTTTGTTATTTTTTTTCGCTTGTTTTTCGCGGACTGGCATTCAAATGAGAGCGGACAAAAAGGAGGCCTGCCTTTGTTTGTTTGGACCCCGCACCTCCCCTTCCAACCATAGTGAACTCTGCCCACTGATAAGCCTCTGCCAGCATTCCCAGTAATTCCAGTAATAATAAATTTTTTTTTTTGCTGGCTGCCTGGCAACAAAAACAAGTCACAAAAGTGGCGCAGCTAAACGAGCAAATTAGAGAAATCCCCAAGCAATAAATACAAATTATTGTGGCTTTTAATAAAATGTAATTAAAGAATTAGTTATACAAATATATAAAACTATAAAATTGTTATTCTCCACAGCATATTCATTGCTCAAATTTATATTTATTTCTAGTGCAACCCTATATCGAAGTTTTCTTCCAAGACTTTAATAAGTAATAGCGCCTCGTGACTAAAAAGAGTGGTGGCGAAAAACAACAGTTATCAAAGGAAAGGAAAACAATAAAAGGCGTAAACGAAACGAAAGCAAAATCTTGCGACAAACAAATGCGATTAAAACTCAAGCCAAACGAACACTTGAGACTCAAATAAGCACTTGGCATTAACAATTAAAAAACAGAACTTAGTCATTGCTAAAGGCGCAGTGTAATGGAAAAGTTTGCTACTTGTTTCACTTGGGGATTTTACAACTTTAACGCCCAGATATTTGCATCTTTTTTGGTTTGAATAAACGTCACCAGAAACCTGTTTTTCTGTTTTATTTCTTTTTTTATCAAAAAATTCACACCGCGCAGCAGGTTGACTATGGATTTCACGTATCAAAACAAAAAGCAGCTGTGCGTTCGATATCTAAGGGAATTACGTGCTCGCAAAAAACAAAAAACAGAAAAAATAAACCAAAAACCAAAACGAGAAGTTAGCAGCAGATATATCAGCTTCTCACTCACACTCAGGCACAGAACTCACACAGAACCCGAGCAGACGTAGATAAAACGTATTCAAAACAAAAGATTAACCACAAAACAGAGATGATAGCCAAAAGGCAAGAAGAAGCAGGAGAAGAAAGAAACACCATAAAAAAAGGAGAGAAAGAAAGAAACGCCACTTGAACTGGCTCTGCGTGAACGGTGACGTCGCAGTTTCCTCTCTCGAGTTGAAAAGCAGAGTACTCGCCCTCTCACTCTCTCTCTCTTTCTCAGCTATTTTTACAGTGCACACATACACACACACGAAAAAAAAAAATTAAATAAAATTCACACACACGCTCCTCTCGCGCCACACGTACGCCAAAAATTACACACTCATACACAGAAAGTCGAAAATCGCTAATCGCTTTCTGGCGTCTTTTCTGAGTAACAAAATTACCTTTTTCGAGACACCTCTGCGTGTCCCCAATGCGAGTTACTCTTTTCCAATTCGCTGTCTGTCCTAGGCTGGGTTTTTCATTCACTTTGCATTTTCCACGGTGAAAATCTCACAAGCACTGAAGCACTGGCACTCGCACACACACACGCGTATGTGGGTGCTCTGATATGTATACAATTTAATGCTTCTCAATTAATTTTGATTTCTCACATGCGCGTTTTGTGGCTTATTTTGCACTTTGTCACACACTTTTTCACTTTTCCCTTGCTTGGCGGAGCGCGCTTTAGATTTTCCCGTTTTGTAAAAAATTTTTTCTCGAATGACTCGCGTGCTCTTGTATTTATAGGTTTCTGACACAGCCGAACCGAACCGAATGGGCTGTGAGAGGGAGAGCTGCTTGCTGTTCTCTTTGCTTCTCAATTACGCTCACGCTGCTCGCTCTGCCATGGGTGGGAGAGAGATGGCTGTCGGCCTCAGCAGCACTTGTTCGCCCGCACAGCGGGTGGCTCTGAGTGTGCGAGCGAGTCAACTATCTAAGCTCAATCACTCTCCAGATACTTTTCTCAGAGAGCGAGTACACTCAGAAAAGTGTGCTTACAGAAATTAAACCAAAATTAATTAGATTTAATAAATTAGAATTATTAATGAATTAGAATTATGTTTTATATAATTATTTTTGTTTGTTTTTGTTTGACTGTATAATAATTGATATTTTCAGATGTTTGCATTTTTTGGGTACATCCTTTCAAATTGTTCAAGTAAACCAGAATTTCTCACAGTGCAGCAGTTATCTCACGCTCTCAATCTCCGCCGCGCACCCTTTTTTGGAAGAGAGCCATGTGCCGTGTTCTTTTCGAAGCCCACTAGTTCATTTTGCTATTTTCCGACTGATTTTCTTGGGATTTTGGATTGGGATGATGACAAATTGTCTTAGGACACGACATTGAGCCGAGCTCCTTTCCTGGAGCCTTTTTGCCCTGGTAACAGTGTCCTGGCTTAGATTGTATCTAACAGATACTTTGCTATAAATAGAGCTCGCCCGTTCCAGCTTTAAAGCTGGGAAATCCAGTCTGGCGATTCCAAGAAACCAATTTAATTGTGACAGACCACAATAAACAATGGGAAATCTCTTAGGCAAACTGTTTTTTCCTCTTAATCTCCGCCGGCTGCCCACTGTTTGTCGTATAAAAAACATTTAAGGAAGCTATCTGTAAGAAGCCGAAGTTAGAATACCCTTTTCTGCTGGCACTGCGACCTACCTGTATCTATAAGAGTTAAATAAAATAGTCTAGTTTTACAAGGTAATAATAGAAATCCAGCTATGTAGGAGAAGGACTAGATTGCTAAGAATTGAAGGTTAATTAAGATTAAGATACTTATATGCTTGCGTTGCAACCTATCGACTAAAATGTATAATACCCTCTCCTAAAGTATATAAAATCCAGCGCAAATATTTGTTGACGGAAGCGTCCATATATAGTGTTTTTGGCACTGAGAGAGAACCGGGCTCTCAGGCGATTTCCGCATAATTGGGACTCATGAATGGAGAACGGCCTAATTAAATTACCAAGGCAAAAAAAAAACGGAAAACACAACATACGATGGAGGAGGAGGAGCAGGAGGAGTGGCCAATGGCCAACAGCTGCTCTTTTGTTGACAAACCTTCCGTTTGCTGTTATCGTTCACATCTTATCGCAGAATTTTCCATTCCATAATGGTCATAATAATGGAATCTATAGGTTCAATCGTATTACCTGTCGTCTGGAAACTCTTGACTTGGGGGAATCAGCGGGAGATTAAAGGTCTTAACAGCTCCTCAAATGGCAGCAAATCGATGGATTTTATCACTGAATATCATACTTCGGGTGTTCTACTATATCTATGGTCTGTTATCAGCTATCCGTAAAGCTTAGTTTCTTGGAAACCTCAGATGAACTCCATTCAACTCAATCAAATGAATGGTTTTAGATTTATCATGAAAAGGGGAGAAGAAGATCCTTTAATAATAATCAGTAGTCATTATCTGTCTAGACGCTGTTCGTAAATCTATACTTTTTAATAGTATTGATATTATAAAATGATTGTGTTTTTGGAGCAAGAAATTTGCGATAATACAATTTCTAAGATTTAATCAGCAGGTGTCAGGAATTCCACTTTAATTCAATGTTTTATGGCCCCCCAACTTTCACTAAAGAATTTGGATAGCTTTAAACTCTAGTTTCTAGAACTTTCCCAGCAATCAGAGAGCCAAGTGTCTGGCACGTAACACGAAACCAAGAGATACAGATACAATGACACTTACTGCAGATAGTTTGCCATTATCGAAAGTGTTTGCCGGCGACGTCGTCGCTGGTAGATGCATAGGTATTGGGTATTACTAGAAAAGGTAATAAACCAGAGCACTCTGAATATAATATCGCGTGAGCTTCAACTCGCTCCCTATTTCCCTGGCACATCCACACATCCCGAAATAACCATCAAAAGGTTCCGTTCTCGATGGGAAAATGGCAAAAGTGACGCAACACTCGGGTATTTTTACATCAGTCAGAAGCCAAAATGGGTGATAAACTTTGTCGAGATAGGCACTGCTCCTCCTCCTCCTCCGGCCACAGGGAAACCCATCCATATCCGATAAGAGTTATGCCTCCGAGTTGGCCTGAATTTCAGCACCCATCCCATTGGAGTGCTGCACCCATGAATAATTTATTTAGAGGAGAGCTCCGAGCTCGGATGGGAAGGCCACTGCCAAGGCCTAGGATAATAAGTGGGCAAGTGGGCGCCACAAGCCACAACGCTTGTCGCCTCGCCTCTGCCATTGTTCTATGAAGCTTGCACACATCCTTGACATTGACTTTGAATGCAGCCAAAAGGCAAGGCCACTTCCCTCTATGACATGCATATAAATATGGTCTATTGTTACTTGGAAAAAGGGGGGAAAAGGATGACCAGAATGGGCCATAAATTAAGGACAAAGTTCAGTAAGTTTCCACATCTAAGAACTTGCATCAAAGAATTTCAAGATGCATGTTAATTAGTTCCAAGATGCTTGGCTAACAATCACTTATTATTTATGGCACACGTGTGTGTTTGGCACTCAAGCCCATCGAAATTCCTATTAGAAATCTGTCATTAATTAAATTTCTGATCGCTTTAATGCTCTCTGAAATCCAAATTAACTTTAGTAAACATTTTATCGTTTGTGTTCTGTGGCAGATTTCACAAAGTATATATGCATATTCATATATAAATATATTTTTTTGGGCTTGTTCCGCTGTCGCTGGCTGGCTGGCAATGACTTACTCATCCGGATGCTCGGCCAGAGTGGGCCAATTTGGGTGACAGGCGAAAGGGAAACTGTCACTCAGCCTGTGGGCAATGAAATTAAGGAGGTGTTGCCGCCACATCAGCATCAATCATTTGGGGATTTCACTGGGACTTAAGGTACCAATTAAATTATTAGTAATTACTCAAAGCTATGAGTTTATTTATCTGACAAATGGTTGGGCAACGACAACGACGACCTTGCGGCTCGCCTGCAGCAGGTGCAGCATCGATTTTTTTATCCACGGCAAGGACATGACGGTAAGCCTTGGGCCTGCATTAGTGGCATATCCTTGCAGAGAGCAGAGAGAGATTGTCGAGCAAGTGCGTGCCAGGAGGTGATTTTGGGGTTCCTTCATCTGCTTTTCTGATCGTTCCGCTGCGTGCCTGGCTGTCTGCTGGTGCACTTGTTCTGTATCTGTATCTGTATCTGTTTCTGTATCTGTATCTGTATCTGTATCGATAGTTAGTATTATTGAAAACACGCGCCAGTTGCTCAGCCTAATTGAAAACAGCGACAAACAGCTGCAACTACAACAAGCTGGAATTGCTCGAAAACAATCGGAGGAGAGATTGCCACCTGTCTTTTAACGTCGTTTACCTACTTGTTTGGCCAATAGTAATGAATCACACGCGGCGAATAAATTGAGTTTATCAGCTGATTTCCATTAGTCAGCCAGATCCAATTGACTTGAATTAATTAAAGCCAATTCGAAACTGCTGCTAGCCAAAACAGAACAGATTTTTTGATAATTCAATGAATCACAGGGTATCAAGTGAAATAATTAAACTCGTTTTCTTTCTTTAGTGGATTTACAAGCGGAACATTGTGAATACAATACAGATTTCAACTAATTGGGCAACTGTTTTTCTTTTTAAAATTCCCATAATTCATAAGGAGTTCTTATTTCGACTTTTTCCCATTGAATTTCATTCAGTTTTCAAAACTAATTCGCAAATTATACAACACCTCTGCTGAAACTAAAATTGTTTGTCATTTGCTGCTGTTGGCAGGCCGAAAAATGAATTTTATTAATTTCTTTTTGAATGAAAATGTTGTTTATTTTTAGCAGGCAAGCCGTTGACATGGCATCTTAGCATTTCAGTAGGATTTCAGCATTTAATACAAGTACTAAGTAGGCAACAGGTCTCTTTTTACCCGACCCTGACATTGAAAAGCCACTTATAGAAAGTAAGCTAGCCAAAAAGTATTCGATTCTTTGACGCTGCCTCTCTCTCATTCTCTGTTTGATGAGAATTCCCCAAATTCTAGAAATTTTACTTTTCGGACTATGCCAAGCATTTCCTCAAATATCTAGATACTATTCGTATCTTTGATTAGAACACAAACGAGAGAAAGAGAATCTTTCTATGCTACGTCATCGGTTACCGGAACAATGGCCACGAGTTAATGCCGTGATCGACGATGGCGCTGCGATGACCACATCACCGGCGGCCACACTTCCGCATTCGGTGGGGTCAGTGGGGAAAGTCGGAAAAATCTAAGGAATAGAGGGGGAAAAAGAAGGCGTTGCCGCCCCCGGGCACGCGGCAGAAAAAAACAATGCCCGGGAATGCTGCTCGCCCCTGACAAAGACGTGGTTTCAGGGCCAATCGAAATAGTTACCACAATTCCAATCCCCACTGGCACTGACCACACCAAATCGCGGCCATTCCCATTCCCAGCTGTTTGTGGGCGGAATGTCTGTGTTCTTCTGGCCATTTGCCAAATCACAATTGCCGGCATCCGATGATAAATATGCTTTGCATGTGTTCCTGGCCCGGTTGCCCAGTTGCCCGGTTGTTTCTCCACTAGAAAACCCTTGCCGGCCACTGATCCCAAGCACTCAACAGATTATTATGGGTGAGTTACTCTCAATTTTTAGTTAAATTAGGAAACTTAAGCTTGTATTTAAACAGTAAAAGTTCATTTAAAAAGATATAGACATTACACAACGATTTATAATGACTTTGTTACTGTTAAAAGATGATTTACTTTATTAATTCTTCGGTAGGGTTTGTAAATTTCAAACCATGATGCCTATATTTTACCGCATGATGTATACATCTCTTCAGGGCTTAAGGAAATCAAAGATCTATGAATTATTTAAAGTTTTTCTTGTGATTCCTATGATGTGTATTTTGTTTTAGTAGTCTTCAATCTGCCTTATTTCATTTTAAATCAAAAACACATCAAATTATCAGGATCTAAGATGAATGATGATGAAGAACAACGGGAGGCACGACTGCACTTTCATCTGTATCCTTCACCCAGTTAAAAGACTTCAAGGGGTACAATTTGTAGATATATCTAACCAGATCGAGAGTGAGCCTTGGGATGCAGAAATTCTTCGCTCGAGTGCCGACAGCCAGACGATCTCGGAACAGTCAGCCAAAAAGAGATTCTCCCCGAGATGATGCCGTCGAACGGCGTCAAACAGCGAATTCATGACCAAATGGATCCACAATGTCAATAGCACACGTCCCAATCCGGGCAAATAAGAGGAGGGGCAAGCTCGTGTGCCCCACATTAAATACATACATACTTATAGATGCGATTTTATTCTTTAAATTTTGGGGATTTTCTTCTTTTCTTTTTTGAAGAGCCGATATCGGAAATGAAACTGAAATTGCGCCGCAAGCAGAGCGCCGATAATGCTAAAAATATTTGCCACGATCTGCAGCCAGTCTATAATTGTACGAATTATATAAATATTTGAAGAGTATTTGCCCGGATTTCGGTGTATTTGCAGTGGGCCCATAAAAAGATCAACCTTAATTTAATGGTAGGTAGATAAGGAAAGCAGTGCTAACAGCTCTCCAAGGTGAGCTCTGATATCGAAGCGAGGGTATTCCCTAATTATAATAAAACCATATAGCCTAGGTTATGGACTATGCTTATGGGCCAAATAGAATTTCTAGAGGAATTCTGTTCGAAAAAATCAAAACAAATTGCTATTCGACGTGTGAATTGCAAAGTTCATGACGAATTGAAGGTGCCAAGATATGGAAATGAACCTGAACGAAGTTTCTACACTCTTTCAACTGATTTACTAACAATTTTTATAAATAAATGTTAAGTAAAAATGCCTTTAATTTACTATATATATTTTTCTTTGATTAAATAATGTATTGCCAAGATATAATGACTCATAAAAAATAGTATATCAGGCCGATGACTTCATTGTTTTATCTGTTTTGATTCACGGGAATCACATGAAACGAAAGATTCATCATACGTCTGACATATTTCATATATTTAATAGCATTGTAACATATTTTAAATCCTCTAAAAGTCTTTAAAATCTCAGATTGATTTCTTCTGTAAATTTAATGCCATAAAAAAAGTTAGCACCTATAAAAGTTTATGAAAATTAATGTTATTCTCAAAATCTTTGAATTTAAACCGAAATAAATCTATAAACCAGGTGAAAAATGGGTACGCAGAAACAAAACGAAAAACCAAAATCACTGCCCAGAATTTGTTGTTAATAATAATAAGCCAAGTTATTAGTATTATTTGCGAAACGGCTGGCGGCGCCAAGTAAACAATTTTGTTATTCTTTTCAATTGCGTCAATGCGGCTGCGTCTCGGGAGCGCCAAGGGGGCGTAGCGGGGGTTTTGGCCCACAGAAAATGGCTAACAAGTGTGCCGTGTTTACCATACTTGGCCCTCTCAGAATTACAGACCTGGGTCTGTCTGGCTAAACTCAACACTATAGACGATCGCTGATCGATCACTATCAACGCCAAAGATCTGTAAACATTATTTAATCCTCTAAACAATACTTAATATTTTCGCTTTCATTTTCATTCTGGGGATTCATTTCCCGCTGCTCTGGCTGTTTTTGATCTTTATACCCTTGCAGGGTATTACGATTATAGTAAGAAGGTTGTAACATAGTGATGGAGTCATTTCCGACCCTTTAAATCATATATATTCTTGATCAGCATCAACAGCGGAGTCGATCTAGCTAACTTAGGCAGAAAATAAAATTTTTTAAATATTTTTCAAAATTTTATAAGGGGTTCCATTGTAAAATTCTCAAAAATTAGAAACAAAAATTTAATATTTTACAATTTTAAATTAAGTAAAAAATTTCTTTACTTAATAAAAAATGACATACGAATGCTTTCCGAATTAAAATTATTGTATTTTTGGCTTAGTTATGAGTTTTTTAAACTTTTCTAAATCGATAAATACCGATTCAAAGAATGCGAATATTTAAAGCTTAGTTATAATAGATTTCCAATTCGCTCCTATAATTTAAATGCAAACTGCAAGGGTGTTTAAATTTCGGCTTACCAAAGTTAGATTATTTTCATGTTGTTTACTCAGTCAGTCGATCAGTTTAATGACACAAACAGGGCCCCAACTCTTTTCGAGGGAAAATATTTTTGTTTTCAACAAATCTGCAATGGCATAAAGATCGAATACTAAAGGGGATCGAATTGCGAGACTTTGACTCCAGCAATATTACCCACTTAGAAGCTTAAATAAACAAAAACGAAGCAAACTTTTTAACTTTTCAGTATAAATATTCGTAAGAAATGTAAAAAGATTCCAAAGTAAAATTTAGTAAAGAAAACTGAAACAATATTTCGAAAAAAGTGCACCAAAAAACTGAAATATAAAATCAAATTTCGGATTTAAAATAGAATATGCAAAACCACAATCATTTTAATAGGTAGAAAACACAAAGATGAGATGAAATATTGATTTAATAATCAACAAGATCAAAAAGAACATCTCAACATGAAATATTGATGATAAAAATGATCATATTTTTCCATGTGCTTTCTCTTTATACATATACTGTAGTATATTTATTTCTAATAATATATCGTTGCAAATATTTGGGCAAATACTCATACTTTTACTAATTATTATTGCATTGCGCCTTGATTTTACACACACCGATTTCCCAATTGCGTTCTGGCGGGGATATAGAATTGGAAATACCGAAAGAGCACACACAACCCCCAAAAGGTCACTGAAAATGTGTTTTCTTTTTCAGCCTTGGCGTGACTAATGTCGCATGTTGCTCTCCTCTGTGACGTCGCAGTTTTTCCCCATTTAAAAATTGAAACAAACGAATCGAAACGAATGCATATTAATGCCAAAATAATGTGCATTAATAAGCAGCAGAATCTGAATCAAAGGAATTATTTTGTGGGCAATTATTACGAAACAAAACCCTCCCACTCTTCCCCGATGTCAAATCAATTAAATTTGAAATAAATGGACAACTGTTTGGCTGCGAAAGAAGGATAGTGTGTCTTCTTGCTAGAATTATAAATATTTAACGAATCTTTGCGATACACAAAGAGAAACATGCCAGAAATACAGCAAACTAATTTCTAAAGAATATCAACTAGGTTTTTTGAGTGTAAACCTATAGGGGACTCGTTTGCTTAAAATCCCACAAGAATTATATATATTTAGTCCGCTATTTTTCATGCAATTTGGCTGCGTGGCCAAGTTTTCTTTCGAATGGATCAAAGTTCAAGGACATTTCCAGTTGAACAAGATAGCAAATGCATTTATTTCAAAATATGATTGGTTGGTATTCCTGAAAAATTCTCAAGAGCTATGGGTTATTCTTAGTTCTTTAATATAGAAACCTTTTTAAGTATTCTATATCAAAACAACACTTGATTTACCCTTTAAAAACAAAATTCCTCTTAAAAGGTCACATAAAATTATAGATGCAGGCAAGGTAAAGGTAAAGATTTAATTATTAAAAGGCCCAAAAAATCGATGTAAATATCCATACGACGTACGCACTTCTATTTACGCTTTATAATTTATTCATTTGTATTTTTTTTGGGGGGGCAGGTCACAAAGAGGGGCGGCTTTTCCGCAGTTGATAAACCAAACGAACAGCTGGATGGAAGAATGTTTTCTAATGAATAATATATTATAATAATAACAGCTTAAAAACAAGAAAGGAAGCTAACTCCGGGAAGCCGAAGTTTGTTTACCCTTTCAGAATACCCTGCAAGGCTATAAAAAAACAAAAGCTCAGTCAAAAAACATAAAATGTCTGGCAGTTTGGTTATCTTATCATTCAGCAAAGGCACTCGCCTGACAGCCATAAATAATCTGAACAAAATAAATAAATAAGAGACTGGCGATTTTCGCTGTCACAATGTTAGTCCAATTGATGCAACTTATTTGCTAATTAATTATCAATTTCATGTGACAAGGCGAGGGCCCGATTGTAACTGATTATTTTGTGGAAATTTTAACTTGGAAAGTACGTAGCTCCCGGAAGCCTTTCCTATTTTATTTATTTGTAAAATGTTTCCATTACTTATCACTTCAGGTTGAAGACAAAAATATAAACAAGATGCATAACGATGCATAGATACAGTAATATATTAGAATTTGTATATATATATATATATGTACGATTTGATTTATCAACCAAAGATATTTTTTTTAATATCAATTGAGTGATATAGTGCTTATGTAGCTGCAATTAGTGAGATTCCACCGGATAGGATATAATGTATCAGAGACACGTGACAATTGGGAATCAATAGACGACAAGACCTTGGATTGATTGTTGTTTTTCTCTTTGCTGCTAATCTATTTTGTTTTGGTCTTGCTATTTTTCCGGGCTTTTCCCGCAATTGGATTACAATGGTTAAAAATAAATACAAGCGCTTGCCCAGAGAAAGTCATGTTGTGTGGATTTTATAAGAGGTTTTGTTAATTTATTTTGTTTTTGCAGTTAAAACAGTTTTCTTCCACTTATTTTTACAAGTTTTCAAAGCCCAACAATTATAACCGAAAGCCGAAATACGTTTATAGTTTTAGCCTAAAATATATGCCAGTCTGATAAATTCCCGCGATAAAGGAGGAGTGCCCACAAAAGTTGCTTTTCTTTTAACGAAAAACATTAAAATAGGTACACTACGAAATTAGAAGTTCAAGAATATTACCAAAAGTAATTTATTGCCTACTATTAGACACATTTAAAATAGATTTCAAAGGCATTCAAGATTTGTGTGGACACTCTTTAAAAATAATAAAAGTTAATAATAAACAAAATAAACTGGCACACAGTCTCCGCAGGATTTTATACATTCATCAGCAAGGGCGTTCGTGTCGAAGGATCGCTTGATCCTTCTGGTCAGAACCGCCCAGCTCTACCCAAGGTTTCGTGTATTTGCTTACAAAATTCGAGTGAATCTTAGCCTAGACGAGCTACTTACTAGACAAGATCTACGACAGAAATCTAGGATTGCAGTAATTTTTGTGAAGTTGTGCTAATTGCTAGTACAAAAATATATATATATTACAGCTAAGTGGTCATCTAGATGCCGAGCAGGCACTCGCCGGGAGCCACCGCTCCGGCGTACTCCGCTGGCTACGCCTGCGTCACAAAGTACACCTCACCGGAGGAGCCCACTACCACGGCATGTGTGTCGCCGGCGGGGCCAGTGGCTCCCGTTAATGTCGTACCACCCTGGCCAGCCATTAGGCTGGTCATATCGGTGCCGTTGCTCACGATGCTCACCGCACCGCTGAAGCCATCGTCCTCCGGCTGCCCGGCTCCCACCACCTGCATGTCTGCCGTATGATCTGTCGTCTCCACGTGCATCTGCAGGGCATCGACGCTCTCGTACAAAGATCCACACTCCCCGCACTTGAACAGCGGCTCCACCACCTCCGGATGCTTGCGTTCCACATGCCACTTGAGGTTCGCCGCCGACGAGAAGTTCTTCCGGCAGTTTGCCACGCCGCAGCAATAGGCTCGTTGCTGGTGCGTCTGCCGGTGCCTGTATAGGATGGCTTTCGACTTGAACGTACGATTGCAGATGGTGCAGACGGGTGTGCTTGACTCGGCGTCGTGCGTCTTCATGTGCATGCGCAGCATGCCAGGACCCTTGAAGCTCTTCAGGCAGATCTCGCACTGCGGCTGCTTCTTGCAATTGGCGCGAATCCAGTTGGTGTGCGAGTGCATGTGGTTCTGCAGGCCCTTGAACTGCCGGAACTCTGTGCTGCACAGGTGGCACACATACCTCCCAGATCCCAGCGGAGACGTGTGCTGTCGTATGAACTCTGTAACCAGATTGGCATCGATCTCGTAGTTGTCATCCGCTCCAGCGGCGGCAATAACACTCGCTGTCTGTACCAGCTGGCGGGAATTGGCCGCTGCCAGCTTGCTGCTGATGGCCGGATGACCAGTTGTAGGTGGCTGGTGGTCACAGGGCTCGAGTGTAACCCCAGGAGGGACTGCTGCAGCAGCTGTAGCAGCTTGGTGACTGCGCTTGGCCCGCTTGGGCGTGGGACTCGGCGAGCTTACGCTCAGAGTGGGCGGCACCATGGCATCCGCCGTCGCTTGGCTAAACTCCACCACAGCATTTTCCAGCGAAATGCTCTGCAGCTCCTCCTGCTGTTGGTGGTGCGCCTGAGCCTGCTCATGCTCTAGGAAGGCCTGATCTATCTCGGCACTCGTCTCACCGTCCGGCGGTTCCATAATGGCGTATTGCAGGTCGGCATCATCCACGTCGTCGACTTCGCCAGACAGATGCGGATCGTGGTCGTCCGTGATGTACTCGCAGTCCGAGGGGCTGATAGCCTCTGCGTCGGGATCCTCTAGCATTTCGTCATCCTCCAGCTGGATCTCCTCGATGATGAACGTGTCCTCCTCTTCCTCCTCCTGCTTCAGCTGCTCGTCCATGTCGGCATCCACCTCGTCCATCGCCTCCTGGTGGTCCTCCAGGTCGTCAAAGTACTCGTGCTCCTGGCTCTCGCTCTGCGTGAGATCCTCGTCGATCAGCACCTGGTGGTGATGATGCTGCTGCTGCTGCTGATGGTGCTGGTGGTCTTTCAGGAAGTCCTGCTGCTGGTCATCGTCCAGCACAATGGTCTCGAAGCTGTGATCCCCCTTGCCGTCCAACTGTTCATACACCTCATCCAAATCCTCATCCTCCACCTCGCAGCCATCCTCCAGCAGTTGTACATCCGCATCCGCAAGGGAAACGCCGCCATGGTGGCCGTGGCCCATGTCCGTGGCCGATGTTGTGGTGGTGGTGGTCACCGCCGACACTCCGGTAGGCGCCAGCGTACGCTGCGGCACCAGTTGGACCAGCTGCAGAGTCTGTGTGCCGTTGGGCTGCTGAACTATCTGCAACGTCTGCCCGCCCGGCGTCTGCAGGAGTTGTGGCAGGAATTGGGACTGGGCGGCGGTGGCTGCCCCGTTGGCCGTAGCCTGCGGCGCCGTACTGATAATCTGGGCTAGCTGCGGCGCTACAATCTGGGCTGTCGTGATGAACTGGCCGTTGGGCAGCAGGATCTGTTGTGGCAGCGTCGTGGTGGCAGCTGCCGTGGACAGGAGCTGGGCGGGAGCGGGCTGAAGTGTTGGCAACTGCAGCTGCTGTATCTGTTGCTGCAGTGTCTGCGGTTGCTGCTGCTGCTGTTGCGCAGGTTCTGGCAGGAGCTGCACCTGCTGCTGCGGCGGTGGGGGCTGGGCTGGCTGTGGAGCCGGTGCAGCCTCCAGATGCCGCTGCTTATGCTGCCGCGATCCCTTTCTCAGTAACGGCTTCAGCTTGGGCTTGGCCGCCGGAGCAGGCTGTTGTTGCTGCTGGAGAATCTGTTGCTGTTGCTGTTGCTGCTGCTGCTGCATCTGCTCCTCGAGGAGCCGCTGCTGTTTTTGGAGCTGCTTATGCTGTTTCCGCTCCAGAGCCTGTTGCTTGACCGCCGCCGTCTGCTCCTCGGATACGAGACGAACGGTCAGGCCATTAATATACTCGCGCAGCTCCTTGTCGCTGCGCTCGACGAGCGTCTTGAAGGCATGATTCCGGCTGACGGCGTGGACGCACTGCACGCAGATCTTGTCCGGCCAGCCCTCGGTGGGCTCAACATGCACATTGGTGATGTCCATCAACATCTCGGGCACCTTCTCGCTGAACAGCGGGCGCATCTCCTTGCGTTCCGAGATGCACAGGCGGCAAATCTTGTCCAATTCCAAGGCCTTCTTGCGGTCCATCATTTCGTGAATGGGAGTGTATGTGCTTGATCACTAGGGTTATGCTGCAATAACAAATGATTAGCTCACACCGAGATATTTTGGTCCCCTAAAGGTGCATCGTAAGCGAGTCCTCCGTTTGCCGCCAAAAATTAACTTTAATTAAATTTCGATATTTGGATTTTGGATTCCTCTTCTGTTTACAGCGCTGCTAAGCCGGGCTGCTGTTAACAACAGGGGACGTTCACAGGTCTGGTAGCTCCTGAGCCAAACAGAGACAGCTATAGTGTTATACACAATTTGCCATCTTAGTGTTGGTGTGAGCGAAAAATCATATATTTTCAGGTCCCAAAGAACGAAACAAATACATAATCCAAGTCTTGAATCGCGATTTGATTCACTTACTCCCGCACTCGATGCACCTTTCTCCCCGGGACCTCGACTGGCGCAATTTTCAACCGCTGCAGCCGCTTACCTGCGCTCAATTTTTATATAATTTCCGCAGCTCGCCCCACATCCACATCCAAACACACAAAACTTCGTCAAATATGGCCGCGTCACACAAAATTTCCACTTAAATTCACATATTTATGGTAGGGGATACACGGCACACACGGGATGCGAGAACGAAAACAAATGTCATAGCAGTGGGTCACTCTGCGACCCGATCGAATGAAATAACTAGATGTCTGTGTCTATGCCAACGCAATTAATAAAGTTCGATGAGATGAATGAATTTCTCTGCAGCCGCGAGAGTTGCTTCTGTCGTTCTGTCTTTTTCTGTGTGTGAGTGAGATGATAGGCGTGTTGCAATCGCGGGCCTGCCAACTCTTTTGCAACGATAAGGTACTAAGGCCTCGCCGGTCGCAATATGAATTTGTTTTTGTTTTTATTAATTTTTTCACTGGTGGACTCACTAATAGCCACTACACTAAACGCCTTGGCTTTAAATGCTGTACGAATATTAAGCTGACTTACCTTTTCTCTTCAATCCAGCAACTGCAGCTTGGCGGTGTTCAACCAAGGTCCGCCTGTGACTTTCGGCAACTGCTTCCCTTCCAATGTTTTGCATTTGTTTTCACTTTCTATGTAACCATTTCACTTTAATTTACTATTTCACGTTTGTTTTACGTTTCACCGTACGTTCTACACCCGACCAAAACACTTTTTAATTGTCCATAATGAAGAGGACGACAAAATAAGGATTTTTGGCAGCGGGACTGCCAACCCGGTTTGATCGAACTGACATTTCGGAGAGCGAACACCTGTTGATCTCTGTTTATTTTCGGAGTTACTTATGGTTTAAAATTTAAATTTCAAATTTATTTTTAGGCTGGCGCTGGAACATTTGTGTTGGCCAGATCGTACATCTGCCTCTGCTTGTTCCGACGGCTCTGCGTGCGTATCACGACATATAGACCGATCACAACAGCGAGGGCCAGGAGCAGGGCACAGACCACAAACCAGCCGTAGAAGCCCGGCTCATCTTCATCCGAATCGGAGTCCAACTCCGAATTTTCCCACTCGGTGAAGTTTCCCGTGGCCTGATTGTGATTCTCCTTTAGTTTTCCCGCCTTCTGCTCACGGAAAAGCGATGCCTTGACCAGATTATTCGATTCGGGCGCCTGGAAAACCGGCTCCGTGTTGTCAATGCGGACGAACGTGAGTCTGGCACCGGTTAGAGGCTGCTTGTACCGCCTGAATCCGTGGCCGTAGTACTCGTAGATATCGGCGCCGAACTCCCGGTGCTGGTCAACCCACTGGCCAATCACCTGGACCTTTACCTCACTCCTGGCGTCCATAAAGCGCCCGAAATATGCCTTTTCGGCCACGTCCAAGCCGCCCACGCCGTGCTCGTCGAGCTGCAGGACGGAACCACGGTGTTCGAAGAGCAGCGGCAACCTGGCCAGATGGTCCTCGTCCCGGTAGACAGTGGTCGTGTTCAGCTCGATCTTTTCCACAAAGGCGTAGTTGAGGCTGCCGTAGATGGGCTTCCGTTCGCTGCTCGGATTCCGGAGTACGCTGTCACCCAGAAGCATCTTGTAGCTGTTGGTGACATTGCGCCAGGGCAGATAGGTGATGTTCCGCAGCTGATACATAAGCGGCTCCAGCTCCACCAGCACATTGATGTTGTCCTCCAGGCCGTACTGGAAATGATGCAATATGAGGGATTATGAGGGATCTTGGGGTAATCCTCGATGGCAACACTCACAAAGTTATCCCCGAATATCATGACCACACAGGTGAAGAGGCTGTCGGTCACGGCATTGACCAGATCCGTGTGCCGGAAGTGGCAAAGCTCCGTCTTTTCGCGCTCCACGTTCGTGGCCTTGGCTATGTAGGTCAGTCGTTCCTTGGGGTTCAGCTCGGCGGCATAGTTCTTGAGCACGGTGTGGTAGGGCACCCAGGCTAGGACCGAGCCTGCACTGGTGGCACACAGCTCCGTCTGGGCACCGCGTCCACTAAGCTCGCCGTTGTGCAGCCGCAGGAAGTGATGGTTGTCCCGATGCACCGTCGTAGAGCCATGATCCGCGCACAGTGTGTCTACGAGGCTTGCCTGCGGATTAGAGACAGATAAAGGTGGTAGTACTTGGAGTTATCTTGGCACCAACCCGACGCCGCCGGAATAGCATTATCTATACTCTTCCTCTGGGCACCATTGTCTGCTTTTTGCTTTATCGCCAAAAGCTAATTCAATTTGGAAAACATATAAGTACGGCTGATAGCCACTCGAGGTGGCACATTTATGGCCATAGCACCTGGCATTGGATCAAGTCACTTAAGGATGTCAATCACCGAGACTTGTTTCCAACACTTTGTAGTTGAGATTTTACCATTTCTGGCTTGGGGGATGGAAGGTCATGTTGCTTTAAATGGAAAAGCTAATGACAAAACAAAGTTGCTTAAATTCTTGATTTCGAAAGGAAAATCAAATAATTGTTAATATAAAAATTAAATGTTTTGATTAAAACAAAGAAAACCCAAAACAACACACAAATTTCATTAAAAGAAACCGAAGAGAGGCGTAGTTGTCATTTGCAAAGAATAAATTAGCACAAAATTATTTAAAAATGCACTGCAAACTTTTTCTATATAGGTTACAAAGCCTAACTCTTGATAATCACCTTCTCCTTTAGGGTCAGCGTGGTGGCCTTAATGTGACACTGCAGATCCCGCTCACTGGGCATCACCACATGCCGATCAATCTCGGAGAGAAGCAGCGGTTCCGTCTCAATGCAAAAGTGAGGGTGCTCCTCGAACGCCGAGCCAAGAGTCACCACCGACAGCAAGGCCAAACATCCGATGGGCTTAGCTAGCGCAAACATTTCCGCCGTTCCAGAGTTCTTGGAGTCGTCTATAGCTGTCGGCGGAGCACACGCGTGTCGGTCAATTGACAAATAGAAACTGAATTTGCAATTTAAACGGAGAAACGCTGACCGACTGGGATCGGTTAATCGGCATTCAACCTGACGGCAAACGAACGACCCGAGAATATCACCATATTTATCTATCTGGTGAAGGATTTCGGGCCGAGATTCGGGTCGATTTTCGATGAGCAAACGTCATCGCAATGCCAGCAAATGAGTAACTGCTGCTGGGTTGGCTAGCAGCCGCTAATTGCCCAACTTGGAGCGTCAACTAAGGCGATAAGATAAAGGTAGGGGGCCGACTCCCGATGTGACCCAGCTATGTTGTTTCACTATTCCTAGATTAAGCAATAACCAATTGATTTGCTTATTGCAAAGAAATAGTGAAGAGAAAATTGTACAAAAAGGCTTAAATTTACATAGGAAGTAACATTAAATCGCCCTTACATCTTATTATGATACAAGTTTCCTTGGACGAACTATAATTCCAACAAGATTACATTTTATTATTTGTTTTAAATAGCAAAAGTTGTATGCAAATCTCACTTTGGGTTTGTACATTTCTCATCGATATTGTTGGACAAATTTGATGCTCACAGTTGCCATTATAACTCTCAAAATTCATTTGCTCCCACTTCTTCTTTTCCTTTCTGTACAAAATTGAAAAAATAACACGGGGTAGGTAACAGCTTACAAACTAGGGCTCCCTAAAAGTATTATCCTAAATTGGCAACGAGATGTCTCTGACCGTCTATGGTGGTGGATCCACCACTTCCGAAAATAAAGGTGGAACGAGCAACAGGAAAGGTGGAGAGAGGAGACGTGAGACGAGGCACTGGGAGCGGCAGGAGGAACGGATCTCAATCTAGGGAGAAAATACAAGTCGTACACGAACAGAGTTTAAAGAAGGTGAGGAGTTACCATCTGAGCTGCTGTCGGCATTGGCGAAATAGTCAAAGACATCGTCCTCAATATCCTCGTCCCCATCTGCATCATCATCTGCGTCATCATCCCCGTCTTCATCGCTACTTATCAAGTCGCCATCACCATCATCCAAGTCGCCATCATCATCATCGTCGTCGTTGCCGTTGAGGTTGCGGCGCAGCATGGGGAAACCCATAAAATCAGGACCTAAAGTAAATGCTGCATGTAGGTGAGACATTGAAGAGACGACTCCAGGGTTTCAACTTACTCTCAGAGCCCGTATCCGAACCGTCCTCATCAGATTCGGGCACCTCCTCATCATCTTCCTGCAAGCATAGACATAATATTAAGTTCAATATCATCCATACGCCACATTAGGGTTCTCAGATCGATTGCAGCGTTGGGATTTAGATTCGGATTCAGATGTGGATTCGGATGGCCACTCCCGCTCCCGTTGCTACCCAGTGTACGTGCTCGCCGTCGCACACCAACAATTGAGCTGTTGGGTGCATGCTGGCGAGAAAGATTCGGACTTGCGAACGAAGCGGCGGCGAGATTTATCTGACGGGACTCCTCCTCCTCGGCAGCTAGTGCCACCTCAAACTCCATCATGGAGAGATGACCGCCGTTTGCGTTGGCACTCGCTTGTTGCGGTTCCGACGACGGCGCAACTAGTGCGTCCGCCACTTCGCTGCCCAGTTCCTTAGCAGTTGGACGCACCTCTTCCGACCGCTCGCCCTTCTTCACGCCCACCGCATAGATCTTCACGTAGGTCTCCTGCTTGGAATCGTAGCCGCTGTAGTCCTCAACCACCGCGATGAGGCCCCCGTTGGCGCTGACACTAAGATCGTTGATGTTCCGCTTCACATCGATGGTTGCAATGCTAGAGTAATCGTAGGCGTCCAGCACGTTGAAGCTCGTATCGTAGGTGGTCGTCTCCGAGTCATGGTCCCTGTCCGCACCCAAGCTTGCGCCATAGATGACGTGCATGGGCGAGAAGGTGCAGTTGCGTTGATCCAACACGGGCACCGTTTGCAGTAAGTGGAAGGTGCGCAGATCCCAGACCTCCGTGTTGGCAATGATCTGCGAAAGACAATTAATTATCCTTCAAGAAACACGACTTCGACAAAACGCTTACCTCCAGACAGTTGGGATGGAAGACGCCCGATATGCATTGATTGAACTTGTCGAATTTGTGAATCTCTTTGCCCGAACGCACATCCCAGAGAACGCCATCTGTGGAGGCATGAATAAGGAATTATTTTAAATATTGTCAAGTTTAATATATCAATATCTTCTTACCCGACAATATGAGCTCATCGGTGCGACACAGAGTAGCTCGGTTTTTGGTGTATAGATTCGGGATGGTTGGTGTAAATGTGGATATCTTGGTGCCCGTATTTATGTCATATAAGGTGGCGCACTGAAAACGGAACGAAAATTGCATTATAATCTCTTCCAATCCTCTGAGGTAAAACTCACCTCATTTTGGGTGCCCAACAGGCGGTCTTGCGAGGTCTGACTGAACTCGCAGTAGGTGACGTCGGGCAGGCGCAGCTTCAGCTTGAACTCATTGTCGGCTATGGACCACAGAATGCTGGTGGGGATGCGCCAAAAGCTGGATGTGATGACCAGATCCCCAGCACGATTCGCCTTGATCGCATCGACGCTAAAGTTATGACAATTCGAGAAGAACTGCTCCACGCCGTTGTTCAAGTTAAACACACGGCCGTCGCCCTGCTGCGTGCCTACGATGATGTACTTGCCCACCAGGTCACAGCAGGTGAATTCCAGGTCCTCGTAGTCGGCCGAACGAATGGTGCGCCAGGGCGAGAAGTGTGTGTGCACATAGCGACGATCGAAGCGGCTGGTATTGAAGCCCGCCTGGGTGCGAGCATGTCGGCTGGTGAGGTTGAAGTTGGAGCTCAACAATCGACTGGGCCGCGGATCGGGGCATTTGTGCGGCTCATACAGATCGAATTGTGGGCAGGTTATCACCGGATTGTTGCACAGCGAATGCTGGTTGGTGAGATATTCTGTTACAATGGTGTTTAAAGTGACGCGGTTGGGATGCGGCTGGGCCAGGTCGTCGGGCAAGCCCATGGTCATGCCACCCGGCTCCATCATGTGCTTCTGAATAATGTTCGAGCGGTTGACCGAAGAACTTATAGACGGGTGGCGTTCCGTTCGCCGAATCTTGATAGGCGGCGTCTGGGTGCTGGAGTTGAGGCAACCAAAGTTCGGTATGCCGCTGCTGCCACTAGGTCCGTCTCCAGCTCCAGCTGTATCTAGCAGTGGGTGCTCGCTGAAGCTCCTGTTCGGCTCACCGCTGGCCATAATAGCAGCATTTACATCCTGCATGCGACTACGCAGGCGACTGCGAGACAGCGAGCTACTGCCGCCGCTGGGTAGGGTCTTGTAATCGAAGGGTGACTGGTGGAAGTTCCGAGTGGTCGGTGTTTGCAGCGGCAGGCCCACCTCGCGCTGGAGCATCTGGGCCGTCTGCGATAGGCCGTTGCTTTCCAGGTGCTCGAAGATTAGCTGGTAGAGCTGCTGCTTGTTGTACTGTATGCGCGTCTGGGCAATCACGTTTGCTTTGTGCATGTTCGAGAGCGACGGATCCAACGGATTGTTCAGCGGCTTCGTCTTGCCCGACACGCGCTCAAGGAGTTCCAGGGCATACTTCTGGAAGATGACATGCTCCGCACGCTTCTCCTGCAGTATGGGATCTCGCATCAGCGTCTGCAGCTGTCCGCTGGCAAAGAGTGGAAGCTTGCTCACAATCTGCCGGACACGATCGGAGCGAGCAAGTCCCGCCAGAGCCCGGCAGGCCATACCTCGTATACAGTCCGCATCCGTAATCGGTCCCTTGGTCTGCATCAGCGACAGCAGCACCACGATACCATTGTTGGAGCACACCGACTCCCACACGCGCTCGATCAACTCCTCGGCATACTTGTTGTTGGCCTTGTTCTTGCGCGACGAGTTCCCAAACTTCATCAGCCGGCCGCCGGAGCTGCTGCTATCCGGATTGCGGATAATCGGCGAGCAGACGCAATGGCAGAGCACCGCCAGCGCTGATTTGAGCACCTCCGCGTCCGTTGTAATCTCCCCAGCGGCTGCGCCAAGCACTGAGCAAAAACCCGATGTGGTGGTCTTGTCCAGCATTGTGAGACGGTCACAGAGAACGACGTAAACCCTTGGGATTATGCAGCAAACGCTGAGCACATCCAATGCGGAGCGCACCGTCTCCGAGCGTCCCGTGTTCATCCAATCGTAGCTAAAGGCGATAATTCTTAGCAACATTGTGATGCCGCCCAGCTTCATAAGCTGATCCACCGGTTGCCATTGGGCGCGGATCGATGTGTGCTCCTGAAGAGTGCGTATTTGATCGTGCAGTTGATCAAAGGTCAGTTTAGCAGCCACCGTAGGATTCTGGCTAAAGAAGTGAGATGAGGAAGCAGCGTAATGCTGGCAGAGGAAGCTGTTGTACTTGTAAAAGAAGTGCGCCTCCATGTACCGCTTGAGGGCCACGCACACATGGCGCACCATCTGCCGCGAGGCGCACTCCTGATCCTCATTGATCTCAGAGTCGTTATCGCTGTCGTTATGGCTGGGGTCAAGGATCTTTAGCACGGAGATCTGTGTGAATAAAAAGGCAGTTAGTCCGGGTTTTAAACCATTTTCATTCCCCTAACTGATACTTACCACATTGTAGAGCTTACGCAGTCCATCCTGGGCATCAAACTCATCCAATATGACCTTGAATTGGAAGCTCAAACTAAAGAACATTGTGGCATGACACTTGGAGGAGTCGTGGCAACGCCCTAGAATCCAAAGGGCATAGCGAACCAGCTCCGAGATCAGCGGACGCTGCATGGAACAGATGCGCTCCATGGCGTCCTCGCAGTAGGCCAGATAGTAAATGGCTATGGAAACACCTGTGGTGGCCAAACTGGGCCGAGGAACCTTCAATAGTAGCTGCAGGAAGAAGGGAAACTTGGCGTAATCACTTTTCACAAATATAAAATTAGAAAACTCACCTCCAAGCCACCGTGTGCGATAAATTCCAGGGCAAACTTCTTATGACAGAGCAGCGAGGCCAGATACTTGAGCACCTCGTAGGCCAGACAGGTGTCGCGACGATCCAGGTTCTCCAGATACCCAAAGATCAGCTGCATCACATTGTTCTCGAAGGCCATGGCCAGGTACTCCTGATACTCGCCCAGACTGGTTAGGTAGCGCATGATCAACATCTGGCTGGTATCTGCAGTCGGCGGATGCATGGGAATATACATGCGCTTGTAGTACCTCGACACGGGAAAGGCATCCCGGCTGTTCTCGAACAATATGGACATATTGGAAGTATCACCATGCACGGAGGGAGCTCCTGCGCCCATTCCTACTCCACTGCCATTGTGCTGGGGTGACTGGGGAGCGGATGAATTAGCACAGGCTACCCAGCTGAGCATACTAGCCGAAGCACTGCTGCTGTCTGCAGATTGATTGTGCATCGATGTGTTGTTGGGGTCGGAGACGCCACTCTTGCTGATAGCCAGCAGCATGTGCAGGCGCTTAATCATCTTGGGCACCAGACGCATGTTCTGATCCCGATAGTTAATGGTAATGTCGCTCACATCCATGGCATCCGCCAGAAGGCCAGTGGCATAGCTCTGAAGCGGCTCAATGCTGTCTTCTGCCCAGCTGTAGATGCGATTGATGGTCCCGTCATCGTCGGCGGTTTGAAACACCACTGTGGTCTCCAGGCCTGGCATTAGCTCCAGGATTAGGCGACAGGCCAGGATGTTTAGTTCCAACGAACTGCGACTCACGCCCTGGCGACTGAAGTAGTTTTCGCGCAGATAATCGTTGAGAAGCTATAAAGAAAGGTAAGTCTCTGAGGTACTTTTTCGAAACTACCTCAACTTACCTTGCTCATGAACGTATCCTTGCGGAAAAGCAGCTTCAGCAGCAGTCCGTACTGGCAGCTGGGATCTGCTCGGTAGGGATGACGCGTGTCTAGCGGATCCGGGTCCTTGCGCCGATACACATCCTTCTCGCGTTCAAAGATCTCCGCCAGGCTGCGAGATAAGAGGGTTAAAGTTTAAGTTGCCTGGAAAATTTTTGCCTTTGTTACCTCCTCAAAGTGGGTATGGGATCGTAGCCGTTTTGTGTCTGCTGCTGCTCCCACTTGTCAATGATTGTTGTAAGCTCCTTCTTGGTGGCCTGACGGCGATCGGCGGCAGCAGTTTCCTCTGGATTTCCACCGCCCTCGGCGGAATTACTGTCGTTGCTACCATTTTCCGCATTCTCGTCGTCGCCATCGCCGTCGCCGTCACCGTCACCATCACCGCTCTCGCTCATGGCTTCATCTTCGCCCTCGTTCTCCGCCCCTTCTTGGTTGTCGGCTGCTCCATCGGCCTGGGCAGCCTGCTCCTGCGCCTCGTCCTCGCTCTGATACGCCACAGCTACGGCCTCGGCCATCAGCGTCGCCTCGCGTTCAGCCGCAGCAGCAGCCACTGCGGCCTCCTCCTCGCTTTCATTGCCCGCAGACATTTGATGCGATTCACTCGGCAGCTGGTACTAGCCGCTTAACTAGTTAGTTGGTTGGGTTAAACGCCGCAAAGCGTTGCTCCAAGTGGCGAAATATAAAGCGTGCGGCAGAAAATACCACGCGCTCTTATTTTTTTTGCACAATAGTGTGACCGTAAGACGTTCGGTAAAAATTACCCACAGACAAGGGCAAAGAGACGAGCTTTCGTTGGTCGCTCCGTCAAGGCACACTAGACGGTTTGTTTTGTTTTGTCGGCCGATTGGAGCCGCCTCTAAATATATATATATACATATATATAGTATACCCTATTATATAGCTTTCGTGTAAAGTACACATCATGGGTTTCCTCTACATACTGGGCTGGGTATCCCTGGGCATACAGATTGTATTTCTCACGCTGTCCATAGGTAAGGTGACGCCGCGTCATTTTTTGTCTCCGCTGCCAACGTCTTATCTTTTTTTCTTCCAGTGGCCGGCCTCTACTACTTGGCGGAGCTGGCGGAGGAGTACACGACGGCGGCACGGAAGTGCATTCTGGGCATGATTAGCTTCACCATTTTCGTGTACATCCTGCTGATGCTATTCGAGGACCTGCCATGGAGCATGATCATATGCGGCTTCGTGGCACAGGGTTTCCACCTGGCCATAATGGGCGGATTTCCATTCGTGCGCCTTCTGTCGGTGCCCCTGCTGGGCTCCCTGGCCATGCTGGTCGTCAATCACTTCCTTGCCTTTCAGTATTTCACCAGCGTTTATGTGCCTTTTACGCAGGTTAGTGGACATCTTGCATAAATCGACGAAGTGGACTTGCTGGTCTCGGGGACAAAGTCAAGAATGCTCTTTACCAACATATAATGTATATCCTCTTTAAACCAGGTTCTGGCCTACTTCACCATCTGCATGTGGATCGTGCCCTTCGCCCTGTTCGTCTCGCTCAGCGCCAACGATAGCGTCCTGCCCACCACCGTCAGCGATCAGAGCCGGCGCAGTCCGGATGTGGTCAGCAATTACTTTTCGCGGAACAAGAAGCAGGGCCTGCTCTCCCTGTTTCAGTATCTGAAAGAGACCGTGCTCCCTGGTCGGAGCAAGAAGGCCTTCTAGGATTACAGCCTATCCGATATGTGTGTTCAGTAGTTTATTTATTGTTTAAATTAATTTTTGTAGTCACGCACACCACACATACACAGACAGGACTGCACATTCATGATATTTTGTTTATTTTGTAAAGTTTACGGCGACGGAACTAAAATTGGAGTATTAAATTTTAAGGGAAATGTCTTTTAAGTAGCTCCATTTACAATAAATTGTGATAAATGAATATCGCACATATACCATTCAATTTATTAAATCAATTATGTCCCTCGTGGAGAAAATTCATCCTAGGGGCCAGGAATATCTTTTAAATTCAAAATATTGTGCAGCAAATGGCCGCACATAACTTTATTCAGGAAAACGTAATAGATATATAATGAAAATCAAGCCAGTCCTATTTATTTTGGACCTTGACCGTGCCATCGGCCATGCCAAAGTAACACTTGTGGGCCATATTCACAAATAGACCCGTCTCCAGGACGCCGGGTATCATGGTGATGGCCGTATTGACCTCAGCCCAGTCATACTCCCGATTGGCAATGAACCTCCAGTCCATCAGAAAGTTGCCATTATCGGTGACAATCGGTCCGGCCTTGACCTTGGCCATCCGCAGAGAGGCTTCGCCTCCGAAGAGCGTTTCGATCTGCAGCTTGATGGGCACATAAGCCATCGGGGCCACCTCGATGGGTATGCCGCGGCACCACTGCTCACCTAGGCGGGCCGAGTTCTTGGTGTAGTCGGCGACGACAATAAAATGTTTGGCGCAGGCGGCCACCACCTTCTCTTGGAGCAGACAGCCGCCGCCGCCCTTGATCAGCACCATTTTCCGGTCTACCTCATCGGCTCCATCGATGGCGACGTCTATGGTGGGATTTCTGTCCAGGTCGCCAAGGTTGAGGTTGTAGTCCAAGATTAAATGGTGCGCCTGGTAGGACGAGGGCACACAAATGAGATCCGCCAGCTCGCCCTCCTTCCACCTGCGCTCCGCGATGCGCTGGATGGCATGCACGACAGTGGAACCGCTGCCGATGCCCAAGATTCTGGTATCCTCGGTCACCCACTGGTCAACGGCAGTGCGAGCCGCCGTCCTCTTGGCAGCATCTACGGCAATGTCGTCGGTCATCTTGCTGGGTGTTTGTGAGTATAATGCGGTTGTCCCAAACAATAGTAGTTTTTCGCTCAAATGTTGGATGAGGAGAAGCTGTGGTCGTTGGACGCCGCGCCGCAAAAGCTCCGATAACATGTGGTTTCCAATCGCCGTTCAATTCCAACTTCAATTGACATTGAGATCAAGCTCAGATGTGGCCAAGGCGATGCACTAGGGATTTCTCACTTCTGCGTCGTTACGTTTACAAACGTAAGCGCGACAACGGAACGTTAATTTCAAAAGTGTACGGTTTTAACTTGTGTACCGAGTGTTTTATATTATATTTATATTTATTTGCAGGTTATTTTGACACTAATATAAATGATGTCTTTGTGTATACTTGCATTTTATTTTAAATCCCGTCTATGGAACACGTAAGAAATTTATTAACGTTCCGCTATTATAATCACGTAAGCGCGATTTTTAAATTTTTGTTTTTAATGCAATTTTAAAACCATAGAATTATGGAAAAGCAGAGTGATATGCACAAGTTTCTAGTCTATAGCTTTCAAAATCATTCAGGAAATAGCTTGGCTTAATCAATTCTCTGAGGGAGGCTAAACGTATCTAATGCTCTAATAAAATAAAAAATCACTATAGAATAGTTATTTAAATGCAATCCTTTTTTATAGGTAGTTATTAATGTTGACAGGAGAATTTATATCTATGATAATATGAAAGTAAGTAAGAGTGACATGAAAATAAGGCATTATATCTAGTATTCGAGATGATCGTTATAAAGTTTTATGATTAATATAGGTTTATAAAGTTTATACCATATGGCAGACAATATTCTTAACATAGTTCTCATATTTGGTTCAAGTTGAATGGCTTGGTATATGGCTACATTGAGTGACGTTCTGCTTGGTCAAGTGTAAAAGACAAATAATCCTTAATATTTAGTTCAAAGAATCCAATAGATTCTTGGAAAAATCAAAAGTCACCACCTTGGGAGCAAAGAAGCCTCCGTAACCGGGTCGCCCTTTGTGATAGATTCCAACGCCAACAAGCGGAACCGGCGGCTGAGGAAGCACCTCCTGCACATCCATAAATGGCACTGTATTCTGGGCCGCATCCTTTCGCTGGCTGGAGCTGGTGAACTCCATGAACTGGTTGGTCTTGGATAGTGGTAGCGACGGCAACTCGGAGGCGGTGGGTAGATCACCGTCCTTCACGATCAGCTTCTGGCGCTGAGCGTTGGCATTTCCCAGCCAATAGCTCTTCGTTTGCGGCTCCACCAAGAGACCGGTTGAGAAGTTGAAGGGACTGAAGCGCGCCTCAAGGTTCAGGTGCTTGTTGAGCACACGGAAACGTACACCTGTGACCACTTGGTGCGTGGCATTTGCCACAATTTCATCCAGATCCAGGGCTCGGCTGTCTATGCTCAGAGTGTGATAGTCGTAGCCTTCGCGTACATCCGGATCGGTGAGATTCAGCTCCTTCAGGGGCTGCCATTCCAGGGATGTGATATTCATGGTGCCGCGGGGCAGGAGCTCACCCTGCTGTATCTGCAGGTGGAATACGCGGTGACGCTTCACGAATCGGACACCAGTTACGATCTTGTTGCGCTCGAAATCCGATACGGAGTCGCGAAGATTAAAGTAGCGATCGGACTTTGGACCTGGCTCGTCGCACAGGCAGAAGCAGTAGTGGCAGCGCCAGAAGAGCCAGTACGACCAGGAGGAGGGCCGCAACGCCTTGGCCCCGCACTCCCCTTCGGTCTTTTCGCCAAATGTGGGACCATCCTCGATGGAGATGTACTCATACCGCCTCACAGAGTCATTCGACGAGGGGCAGATGGACATATCCGACTCAATGAAGCCGCAGTTGTAGAGCCTGCCCTTGCAGGCGGGCTGCTGGCCACAGAGCTCCTTCTCCGGCTGATAACAACCCGTGGAACGGGTGTCGTGGTGATCCTCGCAAGTGCCCCAGCAGGTCTGATCCTCGTTCAGGTTAATCTCGTTCTCCACGAAGCCCTGCAACAGGCGTGTAACGCGTGAATAGGTCTCTTCCTCCACGTGCTGCTCCTGGCCGCTGGGATCACAGCGCCAGTAAACGCGTCCGCTCTTCGACATGACCTGCTGCAGCACCCGCTTTGCCTTCGCCAAGCGCTTCTGGTGGTGCTCTCGCATCAACTGCAGCTCCTGGGTGAAGTTACCCTGTCTAAGCTGGCGCAGTACCATCCACGAGTACTCCATCATGGCGTATCCCTTGAGCTCCGTAAATGCGGCCGTGGAGAAGAGCTGGTAGGCAAATTGCTGGGCCGATTTCCGGGCTAGGCACATCTGCTCCGGTGCCGCCTCGAAGCTGGCTGTCAGATCGGAGAGCAAGGAGCTAGGGGTATTATTTTGACTGTTAGTGGCCAAGGGATCATCGCCGTAGAGGCAGTCGATCAGCAGTTCCAGCTGCGAGGACAGTGAGTCGGAGCCGGGATCCACATTCCAGCGGGAGAACTTGATCAACGTGCTCGGCTCCAGGGTGTCCTTGTGCTGCTCGTAGTCCGCCAGCTGGGAGTAACGCAAATCAACGAACTTGAACAGGCTCTTCAACTGGGCGAGTCGAGTGAGAAGCATCGTCTGGTCCTGCGTTTTCCGCAGCAGTGTCTCAATGGTCAAGGCCGTGCTGAGAGCGTTCTGCTGTTCCAGTTGCCGGATATTCCCGTTCACAGCCTCCATTTGATTGAGCAGTTTCTGCTGCTGCTGGTAGACCACAGCTCCCGCGGTGACCTCCGCCACGGGCAGTTTCTCGATAGCGCTCCATGAATGGAGGATCGTCTGAGTGACCTCCTTGATCAAGTGAATAATGTCCACGGTCTGCCCAACGACTCCGCCTTTCCCGGAGGAGGCATAGTACCCAGGCACCGCGAGCACGCTAAAAGCGCACCAAATTAGCCACAATTTCATAACCTGCCAAAAATCACATTTTATTATCGGGAACTTATTGCAGTCTTTCGATCTATTACTGTATTTATTTATTTTGTTTACCCCAAAGAGTTTCACTTCCAGCAGCTTCTTAAAATGCTTATTCTGAAAAATTTATTGCTATTGAGCGAAAAATCAGATATACACACTGACGTCCGATCGCTACGAAAATTCAGAGGAATTGATGAAGCTTAGATTCTGCGCCTCTATTTTATTGTGCCAGAGAAACTGCCAACTTATTATTTTTTTTTAAGACGAGCGGTATTTTAAATACTGGGGTTTATTATTATTATTGAAATATTTTGGAAATATTCCAGAATTCAGAAAAGTTAAAAATATAGGTAAGTCTATCAGAATAATATATACACTACATATGAAATTACTATTATTATTAATGGCCATCACAACCCTATCGGGTCACAGCCTGTTGCACAATCTGCCTCCACGCTTCCCTGTCCTGGGCCCGCGCTCGCCAGTTGGTAACACCAGATGTAGACAGGGCTTCCATCACCTGGTCCTGCCAACGTATCCGGGGTCGTCCTCTCCTCCGTTTTCCGACGATTACCGCATCAAATACCTTACGAGCCGGAGCGTCTTCTTCCATGCGGGCGATGTGACCCAGCCAGCGGAGTCTTTGAATTTTGACTCGGCTTACTATATCAACATCCCCGTACAGCTCATACAGCTCGTGGTTCCATCTGATGCGATAAGCATCGCCAACGCAGATTGGACCAAAGATTTTGCGGAGAATCTTTCTCTCGAGCACTCCAAGAGCAGCTGCATCGGATTGCACCACTGTCCAGCACTCCGCACCATATAAGAGTACTGGAAGAATGAGCGTCCTGTAGAGTGTTATTTTTGTCGGTCGAGAGAGAGCTCTACTGTTAAAGTGCCTACTGAGCCCAAAGTAGCACCTGTTGGCAAGTGTGATTCTCCGCTTAATCTCCAGGCTGACATCATTTGTGCCACTTATTGCAGATCCAAGGTAAATGAATTCCTTCACGAACTCAAAGCTATGGCTTCCTGCAGATAGCTGGGAATCAAGACGCCGCGATTCCCTGCTAGAGCACACCATAAACTTTGTCTTATCCATGTTAACTGCCAGTCCTACTTTAGCTGACTCTTTTTCAATAGCCCCGAAGGCTGCTGTAACATCACGCTTGGTTCGGCCAATGATATCAATATCATCAGCGTAGCCAAGGAGTTGGACACATCTGTTTGTTAGAATAGTGCCCGTCCGATGCACTCCAGCCTTCCTTATAATACTCTCCATTAGAATGTTGAAGAGCATACAAGACAGCGAGTCGCCTTGTCTGAGACCACACTTGGTATAAAAGGTTTCGGATTGGTCATTTCCTACCCTGACAGAGCTGATGGTGTTGCTCAATGTCATCATGCAAAGCCGTATTAGCTTTGCTGGTATACCAAGCTCAGACATGGCGGCATACAGGCGATCTCGCCGGGGACTATCGAATGCAGCCTTGTAATCGACGAAGAGGTGATATGTGTCGATCTGATTTTCGTAGGACTTCTCCAGGATTTGGCGCAAGGTGAAAATCTGGTCCATAGTGGATTTGCCAGGCCTGAACCCGCACTGATAAGGTCCAATCAGTGCTTCAGCATGGGGTTTCAGGTTTTCACATAGTACGCTCGTAAGGACCTTGTATGCGACTGGAAGAAGACTAATGCCACGGTAATTGGTGCGCAATGTGGCATCACCCTTCTTCAGGATAGGACAGATCATGCTGTGGTTCCAATCGTCGGGCATGCTCTCCGTTAGCCATATCTTGCTGATTAGTTGGTGCATGCTCCCTACCAACATATCACCAGCAGCCTTAAACAATTCAGCCGGCAGGCCGTCAGCACCTGCGGATTTATTGTTTTTAAGTCGTTGGATTGCAACCTTGACTTCGGCATGGCTTGGGGTCGGTACGTCCACATCAGTACCATAGATTGGGGTTTGTGGATCATACTCTCCATAGTCATCATAGCCAGAGCCAGCTAATAGACTTGAGAAGTGCTCCCTCCATAACCTCAGCACAATCTCTGCATCAGTGACTAGGTTTCCGTCATCGTCCTTGCACGCAACTCCTCCAGTCTTAAAACCTTGGGTCAGACGCTTAACCCTCTGGTAGAAGTTACGAGCTTCATTCCGGCATCTGCTGCTCTCAATGCTCTCACACTCACGCCTCTCCTGTTCTCTCTTCTTGCGTCTGAAGAGGCGTTTCTCATCTCTCCTCCTTGACCTGTAGACCTCGACAACAGCCCTTGTGGCCCCAGCTTGCAGTGTTCTTCTGTAGGCGGCGTCTTTTGCAGCTGTTGCGTCGCGACACTCCTGGTCGTACCATGGATTCCTCGTTGGGGCACGTTGGAATCCGATGACCTCTTCTGCAGAAGTTCGCAGGGAGTGGGATATGAGTGCCCACATATTGCTGATGTCTTCAGGTGTTGGAGTTGCTCGGCTCAGCAGGCCTGAGACTTGAGTGGAGAATGCATCCCTTGTCCGTTGTGATTGCAGCTTCCCGATGTCCAGCTTTCTCAACAGTCCTCGACGTGCAACCTTCGCAACACATAGCCGTGTGCGAATCTTAGCTGCAACAAGATAATGGTCGGAGTCGATGTTGGGACCCCGACAGGATCGCACGTCGAGTACGTTAGATGCATGCCTTGCATCGATCACAACATGATCGATCTGATTTCTGGTCAGTCGATCAGGAGAGAGCCATGATGCCTTGTGTATGTCCAAATGACGAAACCCAGTACTACGAACTACCATATTATGCGCTGCAGCAAAGCCTATTAATCTGAGACCATTGCTCGAGGTGGTCTCGTGTAGACTAAATTGCCCGACGGTCGCGCGCTTTAGTTTGTCAAACAACGGGTGTTGAGTGACAATCCAGGGAGAACCACGTGGAGGTAGTGCGTCGGCTTGGGGAGAGCAGTGATAAGGATCATGCTGGCATTCACCAAGTTGAATGCAATCAGACACTTTACCTTATATACCCCCCCCATTCTCCCCAAATTACTATAAATGTCGTAAATATTGAATATTAACGGACATTCATTTTTAACATAACTTTGTTGTAGCTATTTGCAAAATTAAGCTATTACATCACGTTTACGTTAAATCCTAAATATTTTAAAATTTTTTCATTCTTTAAATCATTGATTAATGTTGCATGACAAGACTAAAATATACATATATATCTTAGGTATATGTATATCTTAGGTATTTTAAACATTAATACCGCTGAAAAGACCATAAGGGGCTGCCAACTCAAAGCAAAAGCAAAAGTAAAGAGGGGAATCCCCCAAAAAATGGAATGGACTGCAGAATTGCATTCTCATACACTTACACACACATTTAACATCGAGAATATTTGAAGAAAATTTAATACTTTTAGTGCACAAAAGCGGGAACTGTTGAATGCCGAAGCGATAAAGCTGAAAGGCAGAGCACAATCACAAAGGTGATTGCGATTTTTCTCTAGCTGCTTTCCAAGGCGGAAAAGCCGGAAAACCGGAGCACAGGGAGCCACGTGAATGGTCAGATATGGAAGCACGGGAGCGAGCAAGCTGTTAAAGGATTTCTAGCAGAGTAGAAAGATGGTGGCTCAAAGAATTTGTGTTAATGGATTTCACTTTTAAAAAAATAAATTACTATCTCCGGCCATAAGGCAAGTCCTAGAGTCCACAAACAAAGTTCCGAGTAGTTTGCATGATTGGATGGGATTTTTGAGTCATTAGCAAAGAAAGATGCTACACAAAGGCCAGAGGAATGCTCCCCCCCCCTCACTTTGGGATTATACATACATATCTGTTTCCCTGCACCTTTCCTCTCGCCCTTCCACATTTCCCAATATGTTGAATGTGGAAAGTGGAGCGCTATTATTGCAAATGAACACATAAAACAACAGCGGGGTCCAAAGTAAACAGCAATTAAGTGCAGCAGCACAAGGGGTTGGGTTCAAACAGAACAAAAAAAAAAACAACAAAAAAAATCGGAGAGAAACACGGCAAATGCAAATTGTTAATTAAAGAAATGGGCATTGTTTAATGCGCCCCATGTGAAATGTTCGAGGCCAACACCTGAGCCCTGCACAGCCGCCTGCCGTTCTTCTTTTTATTTCGTTTCGCCAAACTCGTTGTCCTTTTCCCAATTACTCGTGGAAAAACATTATACAAGAGTGCAGGATGTACATACATGCATTGGTTTAGCTTAGGGAAATGGAGCTTGGAAAAGTACTCATGGCTTTGGAAAAGTTTCACAAGTTAAATATATCAAAAATACAATTCAAATATTGTATGGCACACAGTTGATAACCCTTTTTACCAAAAGTATATGATATATTGAAAGCATTCATAGCTTTTTTCCATAACTTTCGAATATATGTTGCACTTATGCAAATGTATTTTTAATTCAAATATTTCTAGATATGTAATAAGTTATTACTTTTAATTTTTTGATATTTTTTATAAATTTTAAGGACACCAAACTGCGTTCTTTAGAGTAACCATTGAAGGGGTTCCACGTATTACAAAAGACAAAAAAAGGAGAGTAATAAGGACGAGGAAAGGGTGCAATTGAACCGTCGACCCACTTGGAACTGTCCCGACAACATCCATTACGGTGGGGAAAATGGCCTGGGATGGCCTTTGTGCGAGTTATGATTGCCCCGTGCTGATGCTGATGCTGCTGATGATGACAATGTCGAATCTCGATCCCGGCTGCCCTGCATCGAACGACTTTCCAATGGGCACGATTTATAATTTGATTAGCGCATCGCTGAATGCACACGGAAAAGAAAAGTCGGGAATGGAGCGCGGCGCGGAAGTGCATCCGAGTGCACTGAGCGAAATCGGATGGGGAGGGGGAGGATGGTGTGCCCCGGTCCGGGGATCTCTCTTATCTCATCTAGTGCAAAATGGAGCGGGCCATCACACTCGGTTAGCTGACAATGACAAATGATGATGGAGAAGCGGCCGCAGGAGAGTCCCCAAAAGAAAATAAAATGTCCGAAAAAACTCGCTCTTTTGGCTTTCAATTAATCCGAGCAAGTGGCTCTTTTATTGAGCCTATAGGCCTCAGTTTCGACCCGCTGCCATAATCAGTTGTGTTTTGTTTTGCCACAAATAAAACCACTCCTCCTCACCCGAAAAAAAAACCAACACGATCCGCCCCAAAAGGGTTTTATCTCCGAAAACAAAAGGCGCCGAAATTTGCCTCTGCCATTCATTAAACAATGAACAACAGATCCAGCTTTTGGGGGGCGTGGCGGCGCATCCTGCCCGGGAAATAGATTAATGGCCACAGACAAGGCCCAAAGAATCAATTTATTACACCGCCGACAGTTGACCGCAACACCGAGGCCACAAAAAAAGGTGTTTCAAAAGGCTGTATAGAAAGCATTCTATATAAAAATAAATAGATGTATAACTTAACAATAAATAAAGTGTTTGTTTGATTATGACATTAAATATTATTTTCATAAGGTTAAAATTTTTAAATATAACATCTAAACAGGAATAAGAAATGCAGCTTGATATATATTCTTAATAAACTAGTATGAAATTTGTTAAACAAGAAAGCCCAAGTTTATATACCAACGCAGTTTCCAATTGAATTATAGAATCTAACAGAAAATCGATCTCATCTAAACTTAAATTGTTCACATTTTTTAAATCGATACTTATATATATTTTTATATGAAAATTTTATCGACAAATAAAAATTTAAAAAAATCATAACTAAGCCAAAAATGCCTTAATTTTTAATCGGAAAGCGTTCCCATGTTAGTTTTTGTTAGGTTAATAAATCTGCATACTCAATTCATAATGTAAAAAAATTTAAATTTTTATCAATTTTTTTATTACAATTTTAAACCCTTATAAAATTTTGAAAAAATTAAAAAAAAATTTTTCTGCCTGAGATGGCTAGATCGATTTGGCTGTTGATGCTGATCAAGAATATATATGATTTATAGGGTCGGAAATGACTCTTTCACTGCATAACAAGCTCCTGACTGAAATAATAGTATATATTAACTCTAAAATAATATACAGAAAAGTTGAAATCGAAAAATAAACAACTAAATTATTTAAATCACAATATCTTTTTAATTTTACCCGATGCTAGTTTCACCTTCACTTAATTAATCACTTCAACTAATAGGGACGACATATGTAAATTTAAAACTGCAGAATTTAAAACCATCTGTGAGATGCTACATCTTCGCCTTGGAGCACTCGAATCGAGTGCAGCAAGGATAACAGTCCGGAGCCTTGATGCAGCTCAAACCCAAACGGGACAGCTCGGCAGCCTCCCAGTCGCGATCCTCGTCGAACAGCTCCATCATCCGCTGGCGCCTGCATCCAGTGATGAGCTGATCGGCGGTGGACATCTCAACACTCATCGGTTTGACCAAAAAGTTAATGAGGACACTGCCCGAAGAGCTCTTTAGCACCTCGGGTTGGTTTAGTAGAGTAAGACTAGCATGGAAATAGGGTTCATAATTAACAAGTTCCATGAGCGAGATTTTTCCAAAAAAGGCCTTACAAATTCGAGGATTTTATCATCTTGTTAGTGAGTGTGTAACAGTTTCACAGAAAACAGTGTTCGTGTGATTGAAACAAGTAATGAAGCCAGACTAACTTCTCTAGGCTGGATGTGATGTCTCCTAAAATAGGGTTTCTAATGAAGGAATCCCCTAGGAATCATTGAAACTGAATAGTTTTAAGTACAAGTCAACAGAAAAGAAACCTATCAACATAAATAAGAAAGGCAGCTTTATGCATACTGTAAATGCAATTTAAAGAATTAATTGTAATTCTAAAATATATAGATAATCAAATTTCAATTAAATGCACAATAGTTTTGATTTTATTACACCTTCAAAAATGAAAATCATATGAAAAATATAATTTTAAAACTTCCACATATAAAATCCTTAATGAGTTGCTACAGCCTCAACTTGGCGCACTCGTAGCTAGTGCAGCAAGGATAACAATCCGGAGCCCTGATGCAGCTCAAGCCCAGGCGTGCCAGCTCGGCGGCCTCCCAGGCTCGTTCCTTCTCCAACAGCTGCTTCATCCGTTGGCGTCGGGATCCAATGTAAACTTGATAAGCGGTATCCAACTCAATGCTCATTGGCCTGGCCAAGAAATTAATGAGACCAGAGCTTGAAGGTTTCTTCAGCAGATCGGGTTGGTTTATTAGCGAATGGCTAGCAAGGAAGCAATGGAGCTCTTAGTTAATAGTTTCCATCCCAAGAAAGGAAGACTTACATACTCCAAGACTTGCTCATCTTGCTAGTAAATATGTGACAGCTACACAGAGAACAGTGTGTGTTTGATTGGAAACACTAATGTAAGCCAGCCGGACAAACTCCTCCAGGCCAGATTTGATGCCTCCTCAATTAGGTTTCCCAAAGACGACTAATCGAATGCCCCAGGACTCTGGATGGAAGGAGGCGGGAAATTGATGCTGAGTAGCTGCATGTAGCAGTCGACTGACACTCAACACCATTTGCCACTCACCAAAGGTCAATCGAGCGAGTTGAAACCCCCCCCAAAAGTGGGTTGTATTCGTCGCCTTTCCTACATGACAGCCGCCTCCTACTCTTCAAAGGCGGCACAAGTGAGGATGTAAGGACATGTAGGATCCTAGAGTAGGGTTACTATTATGTTATGTTGCTTTAACCAGCTTAAAAGTAACTGATAACTATCGATTGGCCAAGTTTTCATTTTCATTGCTTTAACATTTAATTGAGAGCAAGAAGCAAACAGCAAAATATACTTTCAATTAACCCAGTGTCCTCCCTCCCATTCGCTTGCCTCCTAATTGTCTCTCTTTCACTTTCTCGTTGTCGACAAATAATCCCCACAAATTGCTACATAGCGCGTGGCAGACAAACAATAAAAATGGGCTAAGAAGTGGCGATGCCAACAAAGAAAACAGATGGAAAAACAAGGCCAAAGCCAACACACAAATCGTTGTTCGGCAATTTCAGTCAGAAGGACTATGCCTTTTCATCCCATAAAGTCATGTTCCCAAGCTGGGGGGAGGAAACAGTCAGGTGTGTAATTGCAATCCGAATTGGTCAAGTGTAACAATGCAAAGACGCATCCCGCAGCTCACACCTGCTGCCAGTCGAGGGAATCAATTTGATCCTTGAACTTAGAGGCAACAAACTGAAACTGCAACTTGGTCCGGCAGAACGGAGAATGGAGCACGGGATCGGGATAGAACTGAGGGACTGGGGACGAGTTCTCTCTGGGGAACAAAATCAAATTGCAAATTGCATCCGAAAATGTCACGTGCACATCGACGACACATTTTTCGAAGGCGAGAGAGCCAACACACACACACACACACTGTCTGACGGGGGTTACCCTTCCCGAAAAACCAAGGCGGAGATGTCGTGACATGGTCGACATGAGCAAAGGTTATTGCAATTGCCCGCCAGAGCAATCAGTGGACACCAGACACACGGAATGGATACCACAGACAGGGGACATCACAGGCAGCTCTGTTGCAATGGGATAACTTTTCAAGCTAAAAAGCGGATAAGAAAAGTTACAATTTAAACCCTAAATAATGCAAATCATTTAATATCAGACAGACAAAATTAAAACAAAGATATGATATGATATGATATGATATGATATGATATGATATGATATAATATGATATGATATGATATGATATGATATGATATGATATGATATGATATGATATGATATGATACATACTCCCAACGAACCTTACTTTTGTAGCACATTTCCCACTTATTTCTCATGTAAGAAATATCACCTTATATATTCTGGAAAATAGCCAAGTTTGTTGCACTTTTTTTCGAAGGAAAAAAAAGGACTTGCTGTCTATAGCTGCACCTGCACCTGCTCCTGCAGCAGGCGCTGCACTCTTTTCCAGCTCCAAGCGCGGAAGGCTCTACGGAAGGAGGAGGAGGAAAAGGACTAGTAGGAGTTGGAGCAGTATCAGTATTGTTCGTGGGTGGCCAACCCACGCCCCCATTCATTACGTTGACCACGCTGTCGCATTTGCTACGTGACATTCTGCTAACTGCCCTGAAAATGGAGCCGGGGCCGTGTCGCACTTGGTGCATTGTCGGCTCAGCTTATGGCCCTACGATGGACGACATAGCTTCTCAAATCGAAAGGTGAACCATTGGCTTGGAGTATATTGATCAGCGGAATAAGAATCTACATTAAATTAAAAAATAAATAACAAATAACAACATTCAAATAGTACTAAATACTAAGTAATATTAGACAATAAATGCAAATATAGAAATGAGAAATCATCTTTGTAGACCCTTTAAACTCTTTACAGTTTCCTAAAATTATTATAACATATGTTTGATTAAATAATTTCAAAGACTTTGTATAAGTAATATTCCCTATTCCATCCGTTTCGTACCCTTTCTTACAAGCCATGCCGATAAACGACCTCCTTGGCCCACTGAGAATTAGATTGCAGTTAGTTCGCCTGCAGTCCGCTTTCCGCATCCTGCAGTTCATCCTAATCCTCCTGTTAGCTACTAAGATGCCCATTGGGGACGTGATTGCAGGGATTCCATTCAGTTAGTCCACTGCATCATACCCATGGCCATGATGTTTTGACCGCCCATGAGATTTGGCCCAAAATTGACTCGGCGCTCGGCAATTGAAGGGAGGAGGAGCAATGGGGAAGTGATGGGTGCAACTCAGCTTAGCTCAGCTCGTCGGGCTGCCAAATTTATCCAATTGCATTGCCATTACACTATACAAAGTTATGGCAATCTCTCTCCGGAGAATATCGCCGGGGCGGGGCCGGTAAAGAAACAAAGAAACAATGCAGTTCGAAAGTTGCCCGGGATTTGTGCGAGCATCGAATTGCAAGTAAATAAAGCGTCTGGGAAGCAACACCTCCGGCATATCCTTCTCCAATCCTTGCTGCAGCAGCAGTAGCAGCATCAGGAGTTGAGTTATGAACGTGCTGGGAGCAACAAAGCGAATACAACACCCGCAATCCGGGAAACTGGCAACTGGTAACTGCAAGGAGCACGAGGAGGAGGAGCACGAGCAGGAAGCCTTGTAAAGTAAATGTGCAAACATTTATTTATGTGGCCTGCCAAGGAGCACTTTAAAGCCCTGCAATTGCCCTGATTCTGGCAGAGAGTACTGCATATTTATATATGGACACGGTCTCTCAGTATACAAATGACTCCAGAAGGTTTCGTGGTTAAAGTGGTGCCAGTGCCAGTGCCAGTGGAAGTTCTTGCCATAGGAACACAAAATTTAAAATGGTCAGGAAATTGTATCCTTTTCGTAGTTTAACTCTCATAATAGAGAATTTGATTTAGAGTTCTTGCAATCATTCTGCATCATCTTTATTTTCAAGCATCCATAAAAAACTTACGCGCATTTGTCATTGAAGAAGAGTCTAGTAAAAAAGCAAGTGAGGAAATGATTAAATATTTAAAGCTCTATTTTCTTTTCCTTAATATCAACATAACTCTGCCTGAATAAGGATATTAAAACACATTAAAACCCAACATTCTCACCACCTTTGGACTCCAATTTAGTACTCGTAGCCATCGTTGTCGCTGGTCTTCCTGGAACATCATTATTTGGCACACATTTGGTCCTGCTGGCTCTGTGTTCCAGCCGTCGCATTTCAATTTTAATGAGCACTTGAGAGTTGTTGCTCGTTTTTAGCCGTAACTTTAATTAACAACAAAAGTCATGGTCTTGGCCAAAAACAAAACGCCGAATAACAAAAAGTAAACGCAATGAAAAAGCTTAATTTGTAAGGGAACGTACAGGAGAGAGAAACAGCGAGGAGTGGAATAAAAAGACACATGAGGCCGTGCTGGGGAAAATTTCGAAAGGAACTACACTACTGCTACTTCTTGCAAGGAATATGAGGAACATAAAAAGTCGCCAGCAAGTAGTTTTTGCACTTGTAGTACTGCTTTTTCCAGCGAGAGTTCCGGAAAATGCTTTTTTCTCGCATCTTTCTTTTTTTGGGACCCGTAGCACGGATATAAATACGGGTCCTGGGCCAGGGGCCATGGCTGCCGCTGCTGCTGTTGGCGTTAAAAAAGCGGAAAATCGCAGCACATTTTTGCTTTTTAATTAAGCCCTCAATTTTTTATGTTTCCATTCGAAAGCGACACGCCGTGATTTCGTCTCGCCTCCTTTATCCTTGGATCCTTGTCGAAAAATAGTTTACTCTTTTGCAGCAGGAACAGCATCAGGAGCAGGAGCAGTAGCAGTAGCAGGAACAGGAACAGAAGCAGGAGCAGGAGCAGGAGCAGGAGCAGGAGCAGGAGCAGGAGCAGGAGCAGGAGCAGGAGCATCTGGAGTGTAAATGTGCGTGCATCATGGGTTAAGGAGTTTGTCCTGACAAATTACTCTACTTTTCGTTTGAAGCAAATTAAAAGGCTCCCCGGGTACAGATGTTTTGTTCTGCGTTGTAAGTGTGGTTTTGTTTCAGTTGGAAATCAGTGATTTCTTTCCATTACTGTAGCTAGTGAGGTGTAATGTTATCCTATACAAAAGCTAAACGACATTGGAATTAAGCTTAATTAAGCTATTAATTTGACATTAATTTCTGGAATTGGTGCTATATTATATAAGGATTTTTGCTTGGAAAAGGTACTTCAAAAATATGTAGATCTTTAAGAGTCGAAAATTAATTAAAAATACCTCAAATAATTGCCATGTACTCTTAGATAAAAAATACCAACAACTTTAAGCTCAAAATATATTATAAAATCCAGAGATATCAGTATAAATCAACTGTAAATTTTTCCCATTTGCAAAATACCAAAAGAAGTTACAGAGAATTCCGAAAGAAATTCCATAAATACTTGGGAGTTGACCGCTCAGCCGTTCAGTTCACTTTGGATTCGAGTCGGGTGACTATCAACGCGGCTTGAGTGTAACCCAATATATGGATAATTCGGCTAGAAGGTTAGATCATTGAACCGCCTCGCACTTACACCGAGTGCTTCATTGGCGACACCTTCACGTACAGCCCCACTTTCAGCTCCACCTCCAGCTCCAGCTAAACCGGTTTCAGGAACTCAAAAACGCGAAAGCTTCGGGCTTGGGGACAGAAGCTTATCAGCTTGAGGTGATGCATTTTGTAGGCATCAATCAGCCAGCCATCGTCATCGCCGTTTTTGTCGGGATTTTGGAACAAATCCTCGGAATCCTCTTCTAATTTCCTAAGCTTTTTGCAAAAGGTAAGTCCTACTTCAGCGGCCACCAGGCAGCCCTGTATGGGTTCGCTGATCCTCTTGGCCTGCAATTCCGAAAGCATATTCTGAAGCCGCTCGAAGAACTCCGCCTGCTCCTTCTGAGTCTCAAAGTCCACGAGATTACGGAGACCGATGAACAACATGTCCACCAGGACACAGCATTGTCCATCGATACACTCGCGGGACACTCTCTGAGGGATGGCGTGCTTTAGGTGCTGGCTCTGGAAGCGCATCAGGTCGCCCACAGACCGCTGGCTGCCCTGACCCTGGGCCAGCCCGTAAATGTCCACCGATGCACGTTCCGTGCAGCACTTTCGGATGCAAACCCAGTTCGAATGGCGAACCGCCTCCATCATGGTGGCCGTTGCTTGTCGGGTGCCCTCCTGGAAGCCGGTCTCATCGAAGGCTACGCCAAGCAACCGGCGCAGACGCCAGAGGCAGTAGCGTTGCTGGAGTCCACTGATCACCTGGAGCATGCGAAGCTTCAACCGGCTGGTCATGGACAGGTGGCACACCTCGCGGCAAGGTGTCAGAGGTGGAAGAGGGACAGGTGGTTTCCCAATTTGTATGGGACATTTTGAGCCGCCCCTCAAAAACCTAGACAACATGCTTGGAAAACTTACAAAAACTAATTTTTTCTATATTCTTTTCAATTTGTATAGAATGGCTTGGCGGAGCCAACTTTTCTGGCTCCTCTCGCTGGCTATAGCTCGATCCTCGATTCTTGCCGTGTACGATGACTATCGTTTGCCCAGGGCCTTGGAGTCTCAGCATTATGATTTACGGATTCTCACTCATTTGGATGAATTGCGTTTCGTGGGCCTTGTGAGAATCCATCTCCTGGCACTAGAGTCTACCTGGAATATCACTTTGCATGTCAAGGATCTTGAGATAGATGAGGAACGGACAACAGTGAGCTCCTTTCAGGATACAAACTGTGTGACCAGCATAGAAACCCATGATCTTTACGACTTCTACACCCTGCACTTGTGTCGGGAGCTGGTAAAGGATGAGGTTTACCAACTGGAAATGCATTTTGGGGCAAGGCTAAATAGTTCGCAATCGGGTTACTACAACAGTTCCTATACGGATGTGAAAAGCAAGAAAATTCAGTGAGTTTTAAACTTTTTATGGTGTTTTTATCATCTAATTGATCATATTTTTCGTTATAAAAGTCATCTAGCGGTAACACAATTTTCACCAACATTTGCTCGTCAGGCCTTTCCCTGCTTCGATGAACCCTCCTGGAAGGCTACCTTTAATGTTACTCTGGGATATCATAGGAACTACACGGGATTAAGTAACATGCCAGTTTTGGAATGCCAAGAGCAGTAAGTATGATGATTACAAAGGGATTAGGGGATTAGGGTTCCTGTAAGCCTTGCTATATCCTCTTTATCCTTTCCACAGTGAAACCCTTGACAACTATATTTGGTGCAAGCATGAAACCCTCCTGAGGACTTCCACTTACTTGGTGGCCTACGCAGTCCATGATTTGCAAAATAGAACCATAGCTGAGGATAATCAGACCCCGCACAGGAAAGTAATCTTCCGCAACTGGATGCAGCCGAAGATGCTGGACAAAGAAATGCCATCCCTGGAAATGGCACCCAAATTAATCACCTTTTTCGAGGATCTCTTTCAGCTTAATTTCCCTCTGACGAAAATCGATCAGTTAATTGCTCCCGATCACCGTTTTACAGCTATGGAAAACTGGGGTCTGGTCACGTTCAACGAGTTTCATTTGGGAATCAATCCCAATGACGATTTGCAGACAAAGAAGGACTCAAATGCCTTTACCGCCGGTCATGAGTATGCGCATCAGTGGTTTGGGAATTCGGTGACTATGAAGTGGTGGAACGATCTCTGGCTAAAGGAGGGACCTTCTACATATTTCTCCTACATGGCCATGGATGCTTTGCAGCCGGAGTTGGGCAGAGGAGAGGTAATGATTGCCCAGGATCTACAGAACTTTTTTGCCAAGGACTCTAGTGGTTCAATGCCAGCCATCTCGAAGGAGGTACGTGATCCTGCCGAAATTCTGGGGCAGTTTAGCGACTACGTATATCAAAAGGGATCGTTGATGTTCCGGATGCTGCACAAGGTGCTGGGAGATAATGTCTTTTTCCAGGGCATTCGTTCTTACTTGAGGCAGAATGCTCTGGGGAATGTGATTCAGATGGATCTGTGGAAATCCATGCAGGAGGCTGCTCAGCAGGGCAATGTAATCCCCGCAGACTTTAATCTGAGTAAAGCCATGGATTCGTGGACCCTGCAAGGTGGCTATCCTCTGGTTACCCTCATTAGGGATTACACGGGAACGGGCAGGGTAAAGCTCAATCAAACAAGATTCTTAAGAGGAAAGGAGACTGAAAGAAACTCTGGCTGCTGGTGGATACCACTTAGTTTTATCAGACAAGGCCTGCCCGATTTCGAGAACACTATTCCTCAGGCAAGTCTGGAATGTCCTGCAGAGACCCAAGAAGTTCGGACTTTGCCGGATCCACCAAGTTCCGATGAATGGCTCCTAGTTAACCCACAGGTTAGCTCCATATTCAGGGTTAACTACGACGAACACAACTGGCACTTGATTAGCCAGAGTCTGTGGAATGATCCCAACTTTGGTGGAATTCACAAGCTGAACAGGGCTCAGTTGGTGGATGACATTCTGGCCTTGGCTTCGGTTCGAATTCGAAGCTACGACTGGGCCCTCAATATGCTTGGATATCTGAGGAATGAGACGGAGTTTCTGCCTTGGAAGAGAGCACTGAAGCTATTGAAAGACTTGGGAGCTTTGCTGAGTGGTCAAGAAAAAAAGAATTTCAAGGTAAGATAGGCCAGAAAAGTTATAAGAATTATCTTTGATTAAATACTTTATTTTAGATCTACATGCAACAGCTACTTTCACCTTTGTACAAACGCTTCTCAAAGTTAGGTTTGATATTGAGGACCATGCCAGCCACTAAGGAGATATCGTTCCTGCGATTTGCTTACTCTCAGGCCTGCCACTACCATGTCGATGATTGCATCGAACAGGCCAAGAAACTGGCAAAATCTCAGCAGGAGATACCCTCCGATTTTCGTGAAGTGGCATATTGTTCCTTGGTCGAAGAAGGCGGAGAGGCAGAGTTTCAGGAGGTATTAACACTCTTCAAAAACGCCACCAATGCTGCTCAACAACAGATTTGGGCCTCTGTCCTCGGCTGCAGTCGTGACTTTAAACATTTTAAGGAATTTCTAAACTTTACCCTGGAATCGGATGAGAAATCCATTAGGCATTGCTATCTTTCAGCAGTAAAGATGGCCTTAAGTAAGGATTATATGACTTCCCAGACCATTAACCTTATACTGGGTCAAGCGAAAATCATAGGGTAAGTTTGGGAGATATTTTAACAAAATTAATAAATTATTATTATTAATAAACTAATTGCAGGGAAAAGTTTAAAAAGAAGGAGCTGACAGGCCTGCTGCTTAGTTTGGTGGGTCAGGTTCAAGAGCCCATGGAATTAGAGCAACTTAATGATCAGTTGAAGGACATAAAGGCATTCAAAGAACCTCTCAAGGAAGCCCTCGATCTGGGCAACATAAATCAGCAATGGCAAAAAGATTGCGCCAGTGACTTTAGCCGGGCATTGGAAATATATCTAAGAAGGACTACACTTCTTTAAGCTGTTAGATTAAGTATATACTTTTGTAAACCCTTTGCAATTACATCCCCTATTTCCTTATCCTTTATATAATATTCATCTTTTAAATGGTGGAACTTTTTTCGAAAGGATTGCCTGGCACCTGGGTCACCTCCTCCTAGCACCACACGGACCTCAAGCAAAGGCTGCAAGCAGCTGTCAAGTTCCATGTTCTTGGTATTAATTAAGGCAATGGCGATGAAATCTTGGAGCCACCATTGAAAGGATTGCGAGCAGCGGGCATTGGGCATGGGGCCTTCAGGAGGAGGCCAGCGTGCCTGTCAGAAACGGGTCCTGTCAGGACTTTGACTGGTGGATTGCCTGACACGGGACACACACCGACACTATCCATCTGCAGCAGGGCTCCTTTGTTTAGGGCCCCTCCGTTTTCCATTTTCCCTATTCCTCGGATTCCTCTCTGCCCGGCATTTGACGTTTACACGGGTCCGTCAAAATATGTACTCATCCTTGGTGCCATTTCCACATCCACCGATGACGATGACGATGACGACATGTGGAAAGAACATGGAAATGGCGGCCCCAACAAACAAGAGCATTTAGTTATCCCTACTCCCAGCTGCTGTCAGGAAGCTGGAGCTGGAGTCGGAGCACAGATCGAGGCGGGGATCTTCACGGCTGACTGCCAATTAGGCAAATTAATCGTTTGTAATTGACGTGCCAGAAGGGAGGAGGGGAGTTAATGGATTGTGCTCTCTGGCAGAAGTGAGACTTAGGGCGTCAATCGAGCAAAACTATTTGTCAATCGGCCACTATTATGATGGCTTATGCAATAATCTTGCATCCACAGCCACTTCAACTTGCAGGGACTAACAAACACAACTGACTTCTGGACAGGATACTTGGTTGGATTTACCGCTGACAATTGCCTGGAGAGGAGCTTGGAGAGCAAACTTAATGAGATTGAGGGCTTAGCAGTTGGACAAAGTGTATGAGACATTAATATAATTATTATATTAGAAGAGAAATAGAAACTGGTGACCAAAAGTATGCCTACTCTCAGGACGATTTCATTTTAAAATTCTATTCAAAAAGTTACTTAATATTACCTTCTGGTTTAATTGATTATACTAACGTTCTCTTACAATTAATTTTGTATTATAAATGATTAATTTTCCACAAAACATTTTTTGTTTTCGTATTTTCAAAAATTCCACCAAGCAAATTCTGGTAAAAACCTTCGAGTAAATTCCCCTGTTTGGACTCAGTTCTCTTTCAGGCAAATATGGCAGCGAATCAATCAATTGATGACCCATAATTGAAACCACAAAGAAAATCCATGTGTGTATGTACATTTCATATGCATCGCTCTCTATATATGTATTTGTTGGAAAATGCAAATGAAAAGTGGCCCTGTCAGAAAAATTAACGCTATTAATGCTTGTTAAAAGCTGTTATTAAATTAATTAAATGTGATGCCAGCTTGATGCGCATGTAGAACAGGCACGAACAGACACACAAAACTGACTGCAGGATTATTGCATGTTAAATATTTACGCTGGACATTGGCATTTTTAGTGCTACTTTTTGCTTATTTATTTATTACAAATTAATTGAATCCCGAATGCTTGCAGTGGAGGAGAGGGGGAGACTGAGTGAGACTGTTAAATATCGCTCAAATGTCAAATTAATTGCGAGACTTTAGCATCCTTTAGAATAAAAAAAAAATCTGAAAAATCTGTATTCGGGGGAAAAGTATGGAAAATTTAGAAATAAATATTGTGTTAACAGTGTATTAACAGATAACCAAGAAAGGAAGAAATGGAAATAGACTTAGGGCAATCATTGATTAAAATATGAGTATTGTAGGTACATATATTAAATCTAGATTTTTATGTCATTTTGTTAAAGAAATCAGAGTTTTTTAAATATCATAACATAGCCAAAAATACATTAATTTTAATTCGGAAAGCTTTTCTGTGCCAGTTTTTATATGGTTAATAAATTTTAAAAATTTAAGATTTTTGTAAAATTTTTAAAATTTTTACGAATTTTAACCCCTCATAAAAAGTTTGAAAAAGGGGTCAAAAATGTTTTTCCACCAGACTTGTCTAGATCGATTCGGCTGTTCTTGCTGATCAAGAATATATATGCTTTATAGGGACAGAAACGACTTCTTCGCATCGTAACAAGCTTCTGACTAAAATTAGAATACCCTGCATGGGTATTATTCAGATTCATTGCATTAGTCAAGTGATATTTTTGAGGTTGAAGGGCAATCACTATCACTGCCACTATCACTAGAGGTGTAAACAGCGTGGAGGCCGGGAACAGACTGACGTGGGTGCGGCGGTAGTGCCTCTATTTATACTCTCCAAGTAAAGAGAAAAGAGAAAGTATGAGCGAGAGAGCAGAGAAATATGCAGAGAGAGATGGACATACTACAAGTGGTAGAGTAATAGAAAGAGGGAGCAAGAGAGAGAGAGAGAGATGGAACGGATCGACTCGTCTGTTGATGTTGATCAATAATATATGTATATAAATTATATCGTTGAAATGACCCTTTCCTGCGTTGCAAACTGCTAAGCAAAATTATAATACCTTGCGAGTATATAAAAAGAAATCTATTAAAATTTGAGGGAAGTGAATACACCCATTTTTTAAGATTTTTGAGAAGTATAACCTCCTGAATTCATGTATCATTTGAAATTGCAAATAAATATATTATATTTTATATTTTAATTAAATCACGAATTTTTATAGAACGCATATATTTTCTCTATTTAATTTTTTCATTTGCACTATTAAATATTTCCCACTTTTCTTGCCGACTTTAAATAGTTTCTCTTTTACCATTTCTCAATTTAAAATGTGTATGTATTTTTATGGTTTCATTGCTCTTGGGCGCAAGTAATATGTGGGCAAGTTTTATGCTTGGTTAGCTCTTTTGAATGTCTAAATGCCTTGGGGATAGGATAATTCTGGTATTTTCAGCTGGTTTCTTGGCCGGCAGATCTCCTTGCTCCCCAGCAGCTGCTGCTGCTGCTGCAGTTTTGGCACACAATCAAATTTCGAACGTTAATTAATATGCATTCAGTGTCCGAGCAGGGCAGGGATCAAATTATGTAATAGCCGCATTAAAATTGAATTTCTGGATGCGTGCCTCGCCGATTGGCCGGTCATTTGCTGTGTGGGAGTATCTTTGCAGCTTTTGGGTGTGCATCAGGCCAGTATCTCTGTGTGGACTTGGATTTCTGTGCACGTGGCAGGCACTCGCCGTTGTCCGTTTGCAAAATGGAAAATGGTCTAATTAGCCCTAATTGAATACGACATGCTTAGTAGCCTCGTCAGAGCCCCCCGCCTGCCCCGTCGTTACCCCTCACAAGCGAGACAAATTATTTGTGTGTAACTGCAATTGCAATTCAATTGGAGTGTTTAGATTATCAATTCCTGCCAACCGATTGTCGATTATGCTCTCTGAGTGTGCCTGAGTCCGGGCAATCAGGCCAATTGCAGCTCCCAAGGAGAGTGACAAACGTGATTACAATGGTCCAGGAAATGGTACATGTAAAGGAGGTCCTGGCAAGAGGAAGTCAAAGGGTTTCATGAATAACTGTCATTGGTTTCTGATTGTAAATACAATGTTTTTTTTTTAGATTTATCTTGCCACAGATATTAATTTCTAGGAGCACCTTGTGTGCTCTTTAAAATTGAATTTACACACTCTTAACTAAAATATAAGAATGTGGAATGAATATTCTTTTCCAAATAAACAAACATTTCTTTATAATATACATATTTTCTTTTTGAAGGTAAAGTAAAATGGAACATTTAAACCTTATTATTTCCTTAAAATCCTCAATAATTGGCCACGTTAAGCTCCTTGGAAGAAAAACTTCTTGAATTCATCATTGTGAAATGCATTTTAAAGCCCCGTAAATGAACCTAAAAATCTATTCATTGCACTTTTCACCTCTCTCGCCTGCCAAGAAGTTTTCTTTGGAAATCAGAACTTGAAAGCGGAAATATATATTTCAATTAGTAGAGAGTTTTCTCCCCCTTTTGGAAGCTTTGTTTTGCACCATTGTTCCTGGGCTTTCTCCGCTTTTCCCTGATTTTTTTTTTAGTCCAGGTACCAGGTCCTTGCTTCCCTTTCGATTGGGGATGTCGATGCTTTTTATTGTCTAAACTTGTGTATTACATTTTGTTGATGTCGTAAATTACACAGAGCTCTGTGTAGGTGCTTTCATTGTTTGTTGTTTTAATGCCGCCACAGAGAGACAGGGAAAGAGGGAGAATATAAATTCATTAAAAACTTTTCTGGCCAATGCAAAAATCCCCTTTTTATTGACTTTGTACAGATCTTTGGTGGTTGGCCTGCGTAAATATTTATGGAAAATATATTTCTGCACTGGTTAGCATGTTTTGATTGTGCAAACGGGGGACTGGACAGACTCTGTTGCATATTCACAAATCCGAAATCGAATCGATTTGCTGACCGACCAGGATCAGGGTGGAGCCTTCGCCTCCTTATCATAATCAGAGTGAAAACTTTGCTTACTTTACTTTACATTTATTGCTTCGTTTGTTTGAATTCTCTGCCTCTCTTATGGGAAAAGGGAAAAGAAATAGAACGTGAAAACTATTTCTTGCTGGCGCCTCCAGGCTGTGAGGCATTCGGCAGAAACTTTGCCACAAAAGTAGGAAGCTAGGCCAGGCTGAAGCCCAGAAAACTTGCACTTGTCCGGCCAAGAGAGACGGACGGACAGGGCACAAAGAGATGGCAACTTACAAATTTAGATTACGAGCACAAGCACAATTGCCACACATGTTTGCACAAATGCTGGCTGCCTGCTGGATTGTTTAATTTCGTTTAATTAAATTGCAAATATTTTATTGCTGCAAAACTTGCAATAGAAAATTTTCACTGTTTTCCCTTCTCATTTTCCTATATGTATTTTTCCACTCTTGTAAAGCTTGAATTTGTGTGTGCTTGGCGTCATCTGGCCAGCATATGTGGCATT